CATACAGAGACATATTTCTTTTGTGAATGGTCCTTTAAATAAGCAGAAATTTTAGCCATTTCTGCTAAATTAGAAACCTTGAATACCCATTCTTCTAAAGAAGGCAGAGAATCTTTTTTCCAATACTGACCCACCAATAGTCTTGCTGCTGTTATTAAATTCAGCATTAAAATAGTTTCTTTAACATCAAAATCCACAAAAATACCCAAAAGAAATAATTGGGGAGTAAATTTAATTTTCCTTTTAAAAACCTTTTGAATGTTCCACCAAATCATAATCCAAAAAGCTTTAATATTTTTGCAAGTCCACCAAACATGAAAATAAGTTGCATCCAAGGAACCACATCTCCAACATTTGGGTTGCAAATTCGGATACATACAAGATAACTTTTTAGGATCCAAATGCCATCTATAAAACATTTTATAAACATTTTCCCTCAAATTTTGTGCTTGAGTAAATTTAACATTTCTAACCCAAATTATCTCCCAGGAATCCATTAAGATTGGTTCCTGTATATTCTGAGCCCATTTGATCATACAATCTTTTATTAACTCTGTTTCCGAATCCAATTTTATTAACTCATTATAAATTCTTTTGATATGAGCAAATTTCTGATCTTTAATCTGAATTACCAAGTTTTCATCTGTTAAAGTAATTCCCACCTTCTTATCTACCCTCCATCTCTCCATTATTTGTAAATATTGAAACCATGATTGTAAAATATTTTCTTGCCTTAACAAATCAAAAGACTTTAATTGCCAATCTGTACCTGACCAAATGAGCAACTCTTTATACAAAATATTATCAAAATTCACCCCCTTAGAAACCCCTTGAATTGCCTGTCCAGGAATCCCCCAAATGGGTATTTTATAGTTTAATTTGTAATAATACTTCTTCCAGACTCGAAGTATGGCATTTCTTAAAATATGTGACTTAAACACCCAATCTACTTTCTTATCAAAAACTAAATATGCGTGCCAACCAAATGATAAATCCCAGCCTTCAAGAACCAAAATATTTTTATTTGTTAAATGGAGCCAATCACTTACTAAAGTTAAGGTGGCCGCATCATAATATAATTTCAGATTAGGTGCTTTAAGTCCACCCCTTTCTCTAGCATCTTGTAAAATCTTAAACTTAACCCTTGATTTCTTGCCACCCCATATAAATTTATTGATACCCTTCTGCCACTCTTCCAAATTTGCATCCTTTTTCAAAATGGGTAACATCTGAAATAAAAAAAGAAACTTTGGTAGAACATTCATCTTTACTACTGAAATTCTCCCCAACAATGATAATTGTAGTTTTTGCCAGTCATTTAAGTCTTTTTGTACCTTTATCCACAATTGTTCATAATTATTCTTATACAATTTCCCATTATGCTACACATTCATTTTGTAGACAGCTAGTCTAACACATTGTGCAGCGGAATGGAAAGCATAAATGTGTTTCACATATTGATGGTACTAATGCTTCCTTAATTTAATGAATTTAAATCATGACTTTGTCAGAAATAGCATTTGGGGTTGTTAATAATAAAATGTAGATTAAAATGGAATTAAAATATAAAATAATTCAATTAAAACAATTAAAATGTACTTTCGCAAGCAAGCCGGTTAAAAAGCCAGGAGTCAGTCTGTATAAAATTAGCCTTGCCTGTTAAGCGTAAGAAAGAAAAGAAAAGAAAGAAAGAAAGAAAGAAAGAAAGAAAGAAAGAAAGAAAGAAAGAAAGAAAGAAAGTAGAGAAGGCTTGCCATGTCTCACTTCCTGTGGTACCAGCATCTGGAGTAACTGGTGGGAAGGACTTTTCTCACATTCTCAATGAGAACAGATCTCTCAAAGATCTTAAAAGTCAATGGTCTTTCAAAAATTGTTGGATAGGGCTTTGTAGGTTATAACATGTAGAATGAGTTGGGTCTCAAAGTGGATCTGAGACCAATGAAACTAACGTAAAAAAAGTCACATGTTTTATATAATATGTTCTGATTAATAGTCTGGCTGTAATAACTTGGACCAATTGAAGTTTTTGGACACGTTTGAAAGGCAGCTATATATAGAAAATGCTGTAGAAGTCCCCAAAAGATGTAATTTTTAGACATGTGTCTCCATAAGTAGATTTGACTTATCCAAAACTAGATGTCTATGAAGATTTTCAGTCATCTAGTTTTATCAAAAGTGGTTTTATGTTTAAAAAGGCAACTGGACTGATTTTTTTGAGGAAGAACAAGACATTTCACTTCCTACCCTGGAAACTTCATCAGTTGTATTGGATGGTGTAGGAGATGGAAGGATAGTTAGTGACGGTATCAAAAAATTAAAAAATCAGTCCAGTTGCCTTTTCAAAAATAAAAACCACTTTTTGATATATCCAAAAGTAAGCACACACTCGTATGTACTGTGAATATTTTTAGTCAATATCAAAACCTGGGATTTGTGAAACAGAGGTTTAAAAAAGGTATAAATACATCTAAAATAAACTGAATCTTTCTTCTGTCTTTTAATTGATCAGAAGAAGCTTCTGCCTCTTTATGAATTTTGACTTTATTTGCCCTCTTCTATTCCAATGCCAATTCAGATGCTTTAAACCTTGAACAATTTTTTGGGATTTAGATGATAATGAGATAGTTTGTATCTGTTGGATGTCTTCAATAAACTTGTGTCTTCAGGGAAACTTCAGGAAAAGTTTCTTATAAGCTACAACTAGCTAATATTGTCAGTCTCAACTCTTGGCAATTGCCTGGATAAATCCATGCAATTTTGTTGGCAGCATATTTGGAAGTGATTTGCCAGTTCCTTCATCCTATGACTGAGGGGAAGAATTCGATCCAAAGACATCCAGCAGATTTTGTACCTATGGAAATACTAAAACTCGTGATCTCCCATTTTTAGCCTTGCAGCTTTAATCACCAAATTATATCAAACTGGCTCATCACACACAAACCAAGAAATGGCATTATTAGTAAATACCTTTTGGCCAATCACCACTTGCCTCTTACCACTTAATGCAATGGCTTTTCCAAGAAGGGCCAAATTATCATAATATAGTGCTGGAAACAACCTAGCCATACTATGAGTATGGCATCAAATCCCAAAGATGCTTTTTCACAAGGCAACTGAACTTTCTTGCTTTTCTTTGAAGACCGTTTTGTTTCTCATCCAAGAAGTTTCTTCAGCTCTGACTGGATGGTGGGGAATGGAAAGATTTATATTCCTGCAGACAGCTGTTCATTTGCATTCTTTTAGCTAGTCTTTAAAGCTACCTAGAGGCTTATCTGTGTTTTCAGGGTCACACCCATTTGCACTACTTAGGTGACCCTTGAAGGCACACATTAGATTTTATGGAGCAATAGAGAGTAGAATATCAGTGTCCATTTATTCTCTTTTCCATTTTCAGGGAACATCTGTCTTTTCTCCACAATGTTACTTGACTCTGGGATTTGGTTCTCATTAGATCTAACAAGCCTGCACTCAGACGCTATGACTCTCTTTACTCCCTTTGGAATAATTTGTTCCACATGCTTGGTTTGCACTGCCCAGTTGCATGCTCTCTTCTGCTGCCAGCTTGTTGAACTGTGGCTTAGTCTTGTCCAATTAGCTATTTCTCTGTGAACTTTGCAAGTGTTTGATAGTAATTTGGAAACCTATAAAAGCCTGTTCATCAATGTATTGTAGATCATAGACTACATGCCTAATGAATGGTTCCTAGGAATTAGATCGCTTATCTGGTATATACAATTCTCAGAGAAAACGTATAAATTATCTCTAGAAACAAATACCTTTCAAGACTCTTAGATGAACAGATGCATGCAGGTTCAACACTTCAGATGTATATCGGAAGATCTAAGTAATGGTGATTTGAAAAATGCATTCCTATCCTAAGAAACTCTTATTACAAAGATTAAGGTTACGGTTCCATATATTGTATACTATGTAGACTTATTAGAATTAGGTTAGAGTTAGAGTGTAATTATTCATTTAGAATAATTAAATTTGGTGCAATTTCTTTTGAAGTAAAATTCATAGGAATACCGTAGGTTAGTAAATACTTTAAAATATATTGTAGCTGAAAGTTTATATAAGTAGCCTTCATTTAGCAACTATACACAATTTTTGCAGTGTAAAGCAATGGAAAGCTGAAGATCATAAGCACAATTGTGGTTTTACTCTGTGACTTACCAAGTTGTAGGTCCCAATTATGTTTGGTAAAAGAGGACAACCTCTATTTATATTTGATTAGATTAAATCAATCAATTAATTTAGCTTGCATCTAAAGAAATAAAGCTTTGTTATTAAGTGCTATGTGAACTCACTTTCTTCCCTTATCATCCTTTTTCCTTTTCTATTGCTCCTTTTTTTTAAAGTCTTTGAGTAGGGCCTTTAAATGCACATTTTAAACTGCAGTAGGAGTTTTTTCAGCTGGTGAATGTATTAGAATTCTATTTTTTTTAAGGACTACTATGTCCTGTGTCTTCTGACTGCTACTTAATTCACAAGCTGAATTTGGTTTATTAGCTTCATAATAAATTGTTCACTTTGCTATTGTGGACAGTCAAATTTGTTTTACAGGCATGCTTGCTTGCTACCCAAGGGTGTTGATCTATCTTCTAATAAAAAAGAACTTTTTCAAAGCTGCATTTACATTTAGCTATAAAAGACATTTAAATACTAACAGTATTAAATACTAATTTCTATCTATTGTCCACATATTTTTCTTCTCTGCCTATACCTATAAAAACCCACTAGATAGTTTTTAATAAAGTGAGAGTTACACTAGTGAACAGAGAGGAAAAATATTGTTGGTGAAAAGGAAATTAAATTGATCCATTGGCCAAATGACTTGGTTTTATCTAGAATTGTATGTGTAGTTGGGATGGGGAACCAGGGAGGGATATCACTGAAAATCTATGATTCAACTGTTCTTTGGGAATATTTACATTTTTAAGAAACCAAACTCCTTGCTGGACACTGTTTCTAAACCACTTTTTTATAATGTTAAACAGGGGAGAGGCACCTTCAACAGCACGTTACCCTCCCGACGTTTTCTAATGGTAAATATTTATGTTCTATATCTCTTTGAGGAGTTTAAACTATAGCCGCATCTTCTATTTGGAAATAAAATAACCAGGCACTCCTAACCTGCATGCCTCAGTTCACGTTGTGGAGAATAGGTGGCAGCTGCATTAACCAGAACAGCAGTTATTACTAACCATTTAACCTGCCAGCTTCTGCCCTTTCTAAAATCCATTTTTGCTCTTGAAATCTGCATGGCTCCATTTATTGAAAGAAATGTAGATAGGCCTGGAATTGTCCAGAGAAAGAGATACCCAGCCAATAGGATTATTCAAGAAGGAACAAACCAGTTCTGAAATGGAGGGCTTTAAGCAGCTGCTTGCTTTGCTTGTGCTCATCGCTGTTCTTTTGCTAGAAATTATAACTGTGGGCTCTTAAAAGCTAAGGATCAATCAATGTATTATATTACTTTCTTCTATATTGTGGGATCTTTAAAACCCATCAAAAAATTCACTTATTACCTGTCTTTCATCACTGCAGACTTCTGTAACAGAAGAATAAAAGTTATCATGCCATTAATGGGATCAGAGCATTATTTCATAAATGAAAAGAAGTCAACAAGGGATCAGTAACTATATTGAGAAATTGCTAGAAATAAATATAGCTCTACCTGAGAAAGTTGCTTTTGAGGCTATACTTCTAATTGTTAATGATTAGAAGATCTGTGGCAGATAGATGGGGATAGAATGGAGGTCCGTGTGACCTTTAAATTTGGGTTTGTTTTTTTCATTTCACACTTTCAGAATATAAGAGTTACTTATCCCTGTAACTTGTGTTTTTCTTTTTATCTACCTACCAAACACAGGAAATTTTTGACCCAATCCCACAGCAGACAAAATCATGAAATCACATATTTCCTCTCTAAATCACTTTCCCTCACTTTATGTCTATTTGTGAATTACTTCCCTCCCAAAATGCACCCTTCCCTCTCTTTCCCCTTTCCCCTTCCCTTCCTCCCCCTTCCCTTCCCTTCCCTTCCCTTCCCTTCGGATTCCTGCAGATGCTAAAAGTCTCTTAATTTTTTTTCTGTTCCCAGACAGCATTCCTGAAAATAAGATGGAGTTACACTTGATGATAAGTAGTTATCTTTCTTACAAGTTGGCCCTCTCTCATATCCATAAACCTTCAAAGGATGCTCTTTGAAATAACTGTTTATGATAGAAGGCAGCTAATCCAAGTCTGAAGTATTGGTAATACAGTGAGGGGAAAAAATTATTTGATTCCCTGCTGATTTTGTACATTTGCCCACTGACAAAAAAATCAGGCTAAATGTTTAATAGTTTTAATAGGTTTATTTAATAGGTTTATTTTAACAGTAAGAAACAGAATAACAACAAAAAAATCCAGAAAAACACATTTCAAAAAAGTTATAAATTGATTTGCATTTTAATGAGTGAAATAAATATTTGACCACTTTGCAAAACATGACTTAGTACTTGTTGGCAAAATCTTTGTTGGCTATCACAGAGATCAGATGTTTCTTGTAGTTGGCAACCAGGTTTGCACACATCTCAGGAGGGATTTTATCCCACTCCTCTTTGCAGATCCTCTCCGAGTCATTAAGGTTTTGAGGCTGACGTTTGGCAGCTTGAACCTTCAGCTCCACAAATTTTCTATAGAATTAAGATCTGGAGACTGGCTAGGCCACTCCAGGATCTTAATGTGCTTCTTCTTGAGCCACTTCTTTGTTGCCTCGGCCGTGTGTTTTGAGCCATTGCCATGCTGGAATCCACAATCTATTTTCAATGCCCTGGCTGAGGGAAGAAGATTCTTATCCAAGATTTGATGGTACATTGTCCCATTCATCGTCCCTTTGAGGGTTGAAGTTGTCCTGTCCCCTTGGCAGAAAAACACCCCCAAAGCATAATGTTTCCACCTCCATGTTTGACGGTGGGGATGGTGTTCTTGGGGTCATAGGCAGCATTCCTCCTCCTCCAAACACGGCAAGTTGAGTTGATGCCAAAGAGCTTGAATTTGGTCTCATCTGACCACAATACTTTCACCCAGTTCTCCTCTGAATCATTCAGATGTTGACTGGCAAACTTCAGACAGGCCTGTACATGTGCTTTCTTGAGCAGGGGACCTTGCGGGTGCTGCAGGATTTCAGTCCTTCACAGTGTAGTGTGTTACCAATTGTTTTCTTGGTGACTAATCTCCCGTGTAGTTCTGGGCTGATTCCTCACCGTTCTCATGATCACTGAAACTCCACAAGGTGAAATTTTGCATTTAGCCCCAAACCAATGGAGATTGACAGTTATTTTGTGTTTCTTCCTTTGTGAATAATCGCATCAACTATTGTCACCTTCTCACCAAGCTGCTTGGCAATAGTCTTGTAGCCCATTCCAGCCTTGTGTGGGTCTACAATCTTGTCCTTGACATCCTTGGACAGCTCTTTGGTCTTGGCCATGGTAGAGAGTTTGGAATCTGATTGATTTCTTCTGTGGACAGGTGTCTTTTATACAGGTAACGTTGAGATTAGGAGCACTCCCTTTAAGAGAGTGCTCCTAATCTCAGCTCATTATCTGTATAAAAGACACCTATGAGCCAGAAACGTTGGGCTGATTGATAGAGGATCAAATACTCATTTCACTCATTAAAATACAAATCAATTTATAACTTTTTTGAAATGCGTTTTTCTGGATTTTTTTTGTTGTTATTTTGTTTCTCACTGTTAAAATAAACCTACCATTAAAATTATAGGCTGATCATTTCTTTGTCAGTGGGCAAATGTACAAAATCAGCAGGGGGTCAAATAATCCCCCCCCCCATATATTGCTTAAGTTACATTTCCTGAAATTGAAATATAGAATATATATAGAATATTAATTATGAATGAATACATATCCCAGGATAATGTTCCGGATCCAATCTGGATTGGTCACCAGGACCAGAGGTTTTGCCTTCCGAGCTTTTAGACTCATTCCTTGAGGATAGGCTCCAGCATGAGTCCAAAAACTCGGAAGACAAAACCTGGGTGACCAACCCAGATTGGATCCTGCAGAATACTAATTCTCCATATCTGGAATCACTGTGATACTTTGGATCTTTCTTAGAGATATTCTATTTTCTGCCATGACGATTTTAACCCCTACCCCATGAGTGCAACGGAATTAAATCATCTTTGGCTGTACAGTATTAACTAGTATTTTACTCCTTCCATCGAAAACATCCAACTATAACTACAAAATGCATGAATTCTATTGTGCCTTGCTATCATGTCAGAGGCACATTAAACAAGTAGTGGGGAGAATTAGTTGTTTCAGTGTCTTTAGTAACTTGTCAGCCTTGTCTGCCATCTTTCTGATACTGTCTCTCTAAAGATTTGAAAATAGTGATACAAGAAATGCAACAAAATCTATTTGCAGGACTTGCAATCAAGTGCCTTCTGAATAGAAGCAAGGAATCTGGAATTTTGAAATTATTGCCTACATAAATGAAGAAAATGAAGTGGAGAAGAAATTATGAATAAAAGCACTGTTTTAGCTGAGCTCTTTTCATAATCCCAATGTATTTATGTTTTATTTTTTTCAAATTGGACTGACCTAATGGGGTGTGGAAAAAGGGGGCATAGGAAAGAGCCAAGATATGATGAATAGATTGTCCTAAGCCAAATACTTCCCGTTCTTGATGTGGTACTGTGATGTTTTCCCTGCCTGCTTGTCACATGCAGAAGAAGGAAATCAGCAAAGCACAAGGAACCAAGTGATCACTTTGTTGCACACCTGTCTGAGCTACTTGACCTTAATGCTGGACTGGTACTTAATTGGACTTCAACCTTTGGGGATGAAAATTTATTTCTGGGAAGTAATTCCCAGGAAAACAAAAATAAACAAAAGTGAGATATCGAACAAATAAAAATATATATTTTTGCCATGTCTTGGTCTAGCCTTGAATCCTAGATTTCCCAGGTGGTCTCCCATCTAAATACTAATATATTTAACTTTGCTTAGATTTCTAAATCAGTAAGGAGCAACCAGGTGCTGCTGCTTCCTAAGGTAGTATATAAGAGAGAGACATAAGAAAATCAGTTATATGTTTTATTTCTGCTTATGATTTTGAATTTTTTCAAAGGTTGTTTTATTCCGAGGTCCAGAACTCCACAGGACTTTGATGGCTATACAAAATTAGCAGAATCAAGAGTAGGAAGGGACTTTTGAGGTCTTACTCCAATCCCTGCTCAAGCAGGAAACCCTATAACATTTCAGACAAATGGTTATCCAATTTATTCTTAAAAATCTCCAGTGTTGGGGCAACCACAACTTTTTGCAGGCAAGCTGTTCCACTGGTTAATTGTTTTAACTGTTAGGAAATTTCTCCATAGTTCTAGGTTGCTTCTCTCTTTGATTAGTTTCCATCTGTTGCTTCTTGTCCTGCCTACAGCGCTTTGGAGAATAGCTTGACTCTCTCTTCTTTGTGGCAGCCCCTGAGATATTGGAACACTGCTGATCATGTCCCCCCTCGTCCTTCTCTTCATTAAACTAGACATACCCAATTCCAGCAACCGTCCCTTATATGTTTTAGTTTCTAGCCCCCAATTATCTTTGTTGTCTCAACATTTTTTTTATATTGTGGCGACCAAAACTGGATATAATACAGGTAGTCCTTGACTTACAACTGTTGCTTTAATGACTGTTCAAAGTTACAATGGTGTTGAAAAAAGGGACTTGTGACTGTTTTTCACACTTACAACCATTGCAGCGTCCCCACAGTCACATGATCAAAATTAATATGCGTGGCAACTGGTTCATATTTATGACGGTTGCAGCTCCTAGGGTGTTGTAGTCTTCTTTTCCGACCTCCTGACCAGGAAAGTCAATGAGGAAACTGTATTCACTTAACAAGCATGTTACTAAATTAACAACTGCAGTGGTTCACTTAACAATTGTGGCTAGAAAGGTTGTAAAATGGGGCAAAAATCACTTAATAAATGTTTCCCTTAGCAACATAAATTTTGGGCTCAATTGTGGTCGTATGGTGAGGACTACCTGCATTCCAAGTGTTGTCTTACCAAGACATTATAAAGTGGTACTAACACTTAACACTTCTTGATTCTATCCCTCTGTTAACAGAGCCTAGGATTGCATTGGCTTTTTTGGCAGCTGCAGTACATTTTCTTAAAGTACAAATTCTGTGTACTTTAGTTGTACTACATTCTGAAGCAAGAACATGCACTAGTAAAGTTGACTGTGCATTAGTTACTAAAAGGGTATTCTTCACTTCAGCATCTAATAAAATAAACAAAAGAGTAGAATCAGATTAGAAAGAAGTATGGAATTGTGCTAATAGTAGTTACCTCTATGCTGTTCTGTTAATCTATGTTATATTTGGTTTGTTAGTTCTTGGTGATTGCAGGAGAAATGTAATCATTTGCATTGTTCAATCTAAAATCAAATGCTGGTGATAAAGAAATTAGACTTTAAAAATCTAGTAAATCTAATTATGGACATATTTGGGAGTAAAGAATGAGCTAACAGTGTGCTCATAAAATTGTATAGTCCTAGAATTTGGCACACATGCTAAAGTTCTACAAAATTTTCCCTTTAAAAAGTTTAAGAAGTTAAATTAATCCTATTAAGGATTATTGTTTATTTTTTCCATGAATGAGTATGATCCCTATTTAACAGAGCTAATTTGGGAGAGAACTGTTACAGAATGACATAAAATCAGAGACAGTTTCAGTGATCAAATATTTGGGGAAACATGTAGCTAGATGAGATGTTACTTATAAAGCTGAACCACTTTTATGTGGTTTAATGAGTACCTAATAAATGTATAAAGAGATCCCGTAATCTGAGCACTAGGATGCAGTCAGTTTGAGTAGGAAAATAAGGCAGGAGAAGCAACAGCCAATGCTTATGTTGTATGCTGTAGATCACAAAAATAGATAGAAGATCTGGACTGATTATAGAACTTTTTGAGAAAAGAGACAGTAATAATGGAAGAGTTCATTCAGACATCTCTTGAAAAAAACAATTCAGCCGAGACAAAATTACTAGACAGAATTTCATAAACAGAAATCTTTGGAACCATAACAGTACAGAAGGGTTGCATACTTCCCAAAAATAAGACATGGACAATATAATTGCATAACACTTTAAGAAGGAAAAGAGGGGAGAGATTTAGAAAATAAGAGTTCCTAATTTAGGAAAATTGAGTGTTTTTCATTTGGGTGAGAAAAATATCAAAATTCAAAGCACGAAGCAGTATTGGATAACTGTAAATACAAAAAGGATCTGGATGTCTTGGTAAATTGTAAATTGAACATGATTCAAAAGTATGATCTAGTTGCAAAAATCTCAAACACTATTCTAAGCTTCAAAGTACAGTATAATATCAAGATGAAGAAAAATAATTACCTTCTACTCTGTATTGATCAGATGAGGTCTAGAATATTATATTCAGTTTTAGTAATTGGATATTTAGGACATTGACCAAGTGGAATGTTAGAAGGGAGCAATCCAGGAGATAAGGAGCTGAGAAGACTTATGAGGAATAGCTGAAAGCATTTGTTATTTATTTTTATCCTGAAAAAGATGACTTGAAGGGCTATCAACTGAAAGACAGGATACTCTTCTTCAGTGTTGTTCAAGAAGGCCAAACAGTGGGTTTAAATTACAAGGAAATAGATTTTGATTAGACATCATGCAAAATTTCCTAGTTGTAACAGCCATTCACCAATGGAGCCACCTGCCTTGGGAACAGATTCTGTTTACTGGAAGCATTTAAACAGAAATTAGGTTCAGAGGCATCCATGGGAGGGATGCAAAGGATGGAATAATTCTTGTGTCATTGTAACACAAGCTGCACCCATTTTGACGTTTGTTATGATGTTGCATACACATGCTTAAGGGATGGAACGTGCATCACAACACTCAATTTTTCATCTTGATGAGACCATAAGATAATGCATATGTGTCTAGTTGGGTTGCTATCTGACAGGGATTCTGTAGCCATGAATTGCTACACTTACGAGGTTTAGACTAGATGATTCTCAAGACTATTTTAAGCTTCTAGAAGCCTGAACAAGCATACAAATGGAAATGTAGATGCTCTGTTTTAGGGATAAGGCTCTTAAAAAAAAACATGATGCAACCCTTTCTTTCTATTCTCAAAATCAAGGACACTCAAGCTGTCATTCGTGAAACTATTATTTAATGGGGACCAGTTGCAATTTTCTGTTCCATTATTGCATTCTGCAGTAAAAGATTACATATTTAATAAACATTTGTGTAAACCATTGATACCCAGATCATAAATTCTTGCTATCTTGACATGGATTTTTGCCATTATAAATAACTGGGGCAAGCTTAAAAAAAAAGATAGCCGTAATTTTTAAATCTCACAGAAGGTATAAGTGTATGTGGATGGCTAAAGGAAGAAACTTTGCAGTTGTTCTTTTCCCCTGCAAACATTGTCTCCATATTTGCTGGGAAGATGGTGATGGAGAAGCAGGTTTAAAGGTAGAAAGTAGGCCTGATTTGCTTCTGATTTGCTCCTGCGTCCTCCACTTTCCTGCTCAAAAAGCCTCTTCTGCCCTACTCTTTTTTCAAGTAGACTCATTTCTAATATCGTAATCTAGAGGAGAGAAAAAATACTTTCTAAAAAAAACCCCAAGCTTTCACTTTTCAGGTGTTTGGATTTGAGTCTAAGTGATGTATTCAGATTTTTTTATTTAAGCCAAGTAATTTTTTGCTTCAGAAACAGTGTCATCATTCCATAAACCCAGCTCTTAAGATACGTCATTCCTATATTAGAATATTTGTAGAACTGCATATCCGTGTTTAAAAGATGCTGGAAAAATCTTAAAGGTATGTATACTTTAAAATAATTTTAATTGGATTTTGATCTTCTTTCAGAGACCTGTGCTGTTAACAATGGAGGCTGTGATAGCAAATGCCATGATGCAGCCCTAGGAGTTCACTGCAGCTGTCCCATGGGATTCATGCTTCAGCCTGACAGAAAAACTTGCAAAGGTAAGATGCAACCAAAGTCTTTATCTAGTAAATGGAAATGGTTCTCTGATGCAGAGAAAAGGATACACCTATGTCCTTCAACTGGGATTAATTTTGCATTAAGAAGAAACTGAGGTTTGTAAGAGCCATTGTGGTGCAGTGGTTAGAATGTAGTATTGCAAGCCAACTCTGCCCACAGTCAAGAGTTCAATCCTGACTGGCTCAAGGTTGACTCAGCTTTCTATCCTTCTGGGGGTTGGTAAAATGAGGATCCAGATTGTTGGGGGCAATATGCTGACATTATAAACCACTCAGAGAGAGCTGTAAAACACTGTGGAGAGGTATATAAGTCTGAGTGCAATTGCTATTGTTTTTAAAGAATGATCTGAAAAAATTTGCTGAGAAATAAATGAGACTTCACAAATGGATGGAGTCTGTGTTCTGTCTCTGGCAGCTCCAGGGAATGTGACCTTAGTTAAAAGTAAAAAAAAAAAAAAAAAAAAAAAAACCACTAGCTCCTCTGCTGAAAGCTGTCTAACCAGCTTACTGATTCCAGATCCCATTTGTTTCATTATTATTTTTCAGAGCTCATTAACTCTAAGATGCTGGAGTTGCAGGAAGACATAATACCCCAGAACTATATTCTCTGTGTCTGAGAGTTTATTACTGTTCAGAGCTATTTTATTTCTAATACATTTCAGTGACAATAACAGTAACGGTGACAATTCATTGTGCTTGCTGAAGTTCGATGGATTGGGGCAAGACAAGGGAGCAATTTTAGATGACGTCTGGTTGAGCTTGTTTTCTGGGATTCATCAGTTTTAACAGACCATTTCCTAGCAGTAAATTTTCTGGCATGTGCTAGAAGTAAAAATATTTCTTTATAGATAGTAGGAACTTTATAAGAGTTTAGGGAATTAAGCGAAGCAGGGAATATGTTCTTTCTACCTTTTTTGGCAAAAGAATTCTAAAAATACAGCTAACTTTATAATATAATAATTTGGCTCTTATTTGAAATTAATTGTTGGAGAGAAAATGTGTTGATTCTTTGTTGTCTTTGCTGCTATCTTTTAAAAGCAAACAGAGGACTATAAATGAGGGGTGTTACTGTCTGTAAATTTTTCCTTTGTAAATTATTACAGCCTATTCAGCAGACACTTTCAATTGCTTATGAATACTTTTGAAATCAATCTTTTTCTGGCTTTTAAAAGTGGTGATGTCTTATGTTGCTGCTGCTTTAAATTATTTTAATTTTTAAAAGATATATTGTTTCATTAATCTTTTTGTGATCTTATGTTCACTTAACTGTTATAAATGAGCTTTGTCTCAGAAAAAATGTGATGAAAATTGCAATAAATAATTTGTTGTAGTCACATTTGTATAGTCTACAAAACTATATATTTACATTTTATTATGATTAAAGCTTTTTTAGCAACATTGACTCTATGAAATATGTTGGGTTGAGAGAGACTGAGAGTCACTCAGGGAGTTTCAAGAGTTCATAGAGATTTGAACCTGGGTCCTTCCAATTCCAGGGCCACCATACTCCTATACTACAGTCTCCTCTTTTTCTCGCTCTCCTCTGTATTTCCTTACATGGGGATCTTAGAACAAAATTATGACTTCTTCCTAAACACAACTAGACAGTATTCTTAGAAATCTCCCAAATACTAATGAAGTTTCAGAAAAGCTGCATTTTGGATTTAATCTATATTAAAAGAATCTGTCCAAGTCAATTTAACTTGGTTTGGAAGTTAACCAAATCCAGTGCTTATCTTTATCTGAACTATCATAAAATTTCCAAGCAGTACTGGATAGTTGGGTAACAAGCACTGAATCTGTAAATACCCTACAGCACAAGGAATTATAGATAGATCTCAATTTACAACCATTCAGTCAGCAAGTGTTCAAAATTATGACGATGCTAAAAGAAGGGATTTATCATTGGTCCCCAAAGTTACAGCTGTTGGCACACCTCTGCAGTCATGTGATCAAAATTTGGCCACTTGGCAGCTCATCCTCATTTACAACCACAGGGATGCTTCAACTCTGCCCCATCTGCTCCCTCCCCGCATCTATATCCTTTTGGCCCCTGCATTCCACGTCCCTGCCATTTGCCACCACCTTGTTCCTGCTCCTGGCCAAGAATGCTCAATCTGGTTATTCGCAAAGCAGCTGCTGGCCACATGAGGCTTCATCCCCCCTAAGTTATTGATGGCAGTTTCCTTATAAGACCTGGGGAAGATAGGCTCATGTGGTCAGCAGATGCCTCACAAAGGGCTCATGCCTCATCAGCAGTGACAACAAGAGGAAGGTGAAAGTCAATTGGGGTGGTTGAGCTGGGGCAGGGAGCTCAGTGCAGCAAAGATCTCAGAGCACTGAGTGCCAGGGATCTTGGGCATGCAGGAGGTGGCAGAGATCTTGGAGTGCAGAATGGCAAAGGTGACTTTGGCTAGAACTGGGCTGGGGTGGCTTCGGCTTTATGCCACTCTGCTGGGCCAGACTGGGGCTGCACTTAGTGATGCTCTGCATTGCAGTTCAGGGGCTTCTTGCAGCCCCAGAGTCCTGGTGCCCCAAGAAACTCTTTTGCGCTGCACTGCTGGGCCAAATTGGGGCTGCAATTTTGAGCTTCACGGAGGCTCAGGAGCTTCTTGCAGCCCCAGAGCACAGCACACCTGGAAACTCTTGAGCGGCAGCATGTCAGTCAGCCCTTGAGCCATGAACTTCTGGGATTGTTTGCGGCCCCGCAAGGCAAGGTAGAGGGTTGTCAAAAGGCCAGAGTTGTGGGGGGAGGTAGGTGGATGGTGGATTGAAAAGGAGGCAGTCCCCTACCTTTCCAAGGCTTGGGACTGGGAGCACCAAGTCTGGGAATGACTTGGATCAGGGTGGGTACTTGTATAACAACTTGTTATTCTTGGTTAATGACAGCAGCGAGGAGTGCTAGGATTGCTGGCACTAAGTGATGCAGGCACATGGCATCATGCTTTGTGACCGCATCACTTAACAACAGAAATTTTGGACCCAATGATGGTCATAGGCCAAGAACTATCTGTATGAATACAGATCAAAATTAGCATTTAAATTGAATCTGAACAGAAAAATCCAAGTCATTTGTCCTGTTCCTCTTTTGTTGACTCCTCCTTTGATGGCACTTATATGACATTTTTTATACCTTTTTTTGTACCTAAGCATGTTTTGCTGTGTTGTTTTCCCTCCTTATTACAGATATAGATGAATGTAGATTGAACAATGGTGGCTGTGACCACATCTGCAGGAACACAGTGGGCAGTTTTGAATGCAGTTGTAAAAAGGGATATAAATTGCTTATCAATGAAAGGACATGCCAAGGTAAAGTCTTCTCATATCTTACTGGAAATAATAATGAAGCAGTTATTTAAATATGAATATTTAGGAATGGAGTTTAATCACATATGAAACACTCTAATTCAATTTCTTTTTTGATAGTCAGCATAAGAAACAACCATCTATGAGGTCTGGATTTCAATGATTCATAGCTTTGAGTTTGCTATTTGCTATTTTATGTAATATGAATATAAGAATATTAGATTGGCCCTACTCTGGATCAGATTGATGCTTATCTTAGTCCCGCATTTTGTTTCTTACAATAGCCAAACTGATTCCTCTAGTGCAGGAGTGTCAAACTGGCGGCCGCGGGCCGGATACGTCACACACAGGCCACGGCCACCCCAGCTCTGCAAAAGCAAAAAATGTTGCAATAGATCACGTGACGCAATTGAGTTTGACTCCTGTGCTCTAGTAGTGTGTTCGCAAGCGTGAGATTTTTGCTGTTGTTCCATTACAATTTATTATTTAGTGGTAGAGTGCTCTCAACCTGGATGTATCATTGAATCTTGGTAGACTTGTTATAATAATGATCTTGTCCAAATATTTATTCATTCTTGTTCTAAAGCCATCCAAGATAGTGAATCTCCTAATTTCATAGGGAAATTATGTTCTGTGTAAAAAAGTGCTCTTTTAAGTCTGTTCTAAATTGACTTCTAATTGGCTTCATTGGATGACCCCTGAAGCCAGTATTTTGAAAATGCTATCCATCTTCTCCATGCCATATATAATTTTATGGACCTTGATCATGTCCTCCTTCAATCATTATTTTTCCAGTCTGAAGAATCTTAAATATTTTTGCCTTTTCTCATAAGGAAAATATTTGACCCTCCTGGTCCTTTTGGTTGAATAATGGTTAACAATGTTGGCAGTTTTATTTTCATTCTCATTCTTAATGAATGTCCCATGGAATTTGTCTTTTTCACAGTTGACACACATGCTGAGCAAGTATTGCCATTACTTATGTAACCCCAAGACTTTTCCAGGTTAGTTACAGACAGCACAGACTTCATCAGTGCATGTGTAAAGTTATGATTTTTTGCTGCAGCATACATCATTCTGGAATGATTATTCGTCTAACGTAGAGATCCGTGAGAGCCTTTCATAGCCACTTTTTTACCATCCTGAATACTGGAAGTTTGGAAGTTTATTATATATCCTTAGGTCAAGATCATTTATAAATAAAAAATGCAGATCTCAGTACAGTCTTACAAGGCTTCCATATCCCTCCATTGAGAAAATTATCCATTTATTCCAACATAAGCATTTTCATTACCTTGTCTAATTTTTTTTTTCTGGTTAAAATATAAAGAACTTCTTAATATTTTCCCCCTAATAACAATAACAATCACCCTCACCCTTTGTCTTTAAGGCATTAAGGGGAGATTTGACTTTGCTAATTTTTCTTTTCAAGCTGCAGCCATATAACTGTTGGGTCTTGTTCTCCTCCCTAAACATAATTTCCCTATGAGCAGCAGGAAATGCTGCCTCCACAATGCACTTTTATCATGATTAGGTCCATGCTGCACTGCTATCCTCAGAGCTTTCAAATATAACATTCTTTTTTTTTTTGGGAAAATATTTTATTGGTTTTTTAATTTTTAAGAAAAATTACTCAGGACACACCGTGGTGTTTGGGTAATCAGACATTCCAAAGTAAAAACATAAATAAACAACTCAACTCAATACATTCACTGTCTCCTCTCTATTTCCCTCAAATAACATAATACGTTTAAAATATTCCATTTCTAAATTAAATTTCTATTACTACTAAACCTGTTTTAAATCTTTATCCGTTTACAATTACCAAAATCAAATTTCACTTTAACTCAACAAGTTATCAATTCAGGTATCCCTTCCAGATATATTCTAGTTCTTAATTTCTCTCATCCCTCCTTTTATCACCAATCTCATTTATTTCTTCTTCCATTACACAATAGCTATCTTAGTTAAAAAATAATATTAATTCACTTCAATTCATTACAGACACTTCAAATTTCATCCAATTGATTGTCATACCTTATCACATCTATGTTATTGTACAAAAAAATCATCTAAGTTAAAACACTCTACTCATTATTAAAACCATCCCAATCTAAAAAATCAACATTTTTTTCAATTCCAATACATAATTTTCATCAAAATAAATCTGTTATTCCAAAAAGTATTCTTAATTTATTTAAAATATCTTTTCTAAAGATCACCTTCATATATATATGTTTATATTTTTTCTTGCTTCTAACTCTAAATCATAATCCTTAAAACAAACCATAAATCAAAAATTGCCTTTAAATCCATTACACAATTTTAAATTTCTCTTTTCAGTCTAATTCTGGCTTTTTTCCTGTGCCAAGAAGGTTTCCATAGGGACGCTTCCATTTCAGCCAGTAGATGTGTCTTTGTTGCTTGCAGTAGCCTTTGCAATAATCCTCTGCATTAGACGTCTATTTCTCTCCTCCTTGAAGGGTCATTGCTTTGTAGTTTAAATTCTCAGTCTTTGCTTCTTCGGCTCCTCTAAGTTGCAGATGCTCTCCTCCTTGAAGCGTCGTTGCGTTGTAGACTTCCGGTTCCGGTTTGTGGCGTCTCTAGTCTCACGGGGAGACTTCTCTCCTCATCGGCTAGCTTTCCCTCCGCCGGCAGACCCTTATGCGGGTCCAAAGTCACCCTGGAGGGTGCAACTTCTGTCAAGCAGGCTCTGCTCGGCTGCTGAGGAGCAGCGGCTCCCTCAGTTGTCCGAGCCATCTCTGAGGGCCGACGGAGAAGAAGATCGGCCAGTAAAATGGCTGATCACCCTGCTGCTTCAAACCATAAGTCAAAGAACATCTAAGCTGTAAAAACCCCCGTGGTGAATCCGGGTGAGACTTTTCTTTGTTATTCTCTCTATTCTATTTTGTTTTTTCTACCTGAAAGAGCCTTTTTGGAATTACTTCCCTGGCTTGAAAAAGCAGCTTCTACATTTTTTGGGAAGAAAGGCGTTCTGTAAAAATAGAACAAAATTTTAAAGACTATATTTACTTTTATATTTTGGGGGGTACAGAAAAAAAAATTTTCCTGTTTTTTTCCTCTTTTTCTAAGAACTGTACTATCACCCTATGCTGGAAGATTATTTCTTTTTCACATTATACTTTAAAAGATAGAAAAACGGAAATGGCTTTGGAAAAGACCTTTTTAACTTACTGAGGACATCTAGTGGTGAAAATGTAATACTGCAGCCTCTGGTTACTTGGTTTGAAGACAGCTGACCTTCAAAATACTTTCAAAGAGGAAAGATAAGCTGGGTAACTGTGGGAACTGTGGGGGTGGATATTGCCTAAATTATATTAAATATAGCCTCCACAAAAAAGAAAAAAGAGACTCTTTTTAATTACTGTCAAAATGAAGAAACCTCAGTCACATTTAAACTGTACACTTATATTGGAAAAGATCTATGAGGCTACTGCAGAAATATGTGCTACAATGAAAAAGTTTACTACAGAACTAAGATCTAGGGATTTCACTTCAAATGTTCAAATGGACGTCCAGACTATATCTGACTATGGTATAAATCAAAATATATTAGAAGAGGAATCAACAGAGATAAAAGAGGAACTTATTCTATCTTACAAACCTTCCATCTGCAACTTTGAGGAACAGAAGAAGCAAAGACTGAGATTTCAAACTACAAAGAGCTTTCAAATATAACATTCTAAAGGCCATGAGGATGGTTCCCTCAGTTGAAATTCCAGCCCTTTCATTGTCATCTACATGTGAAAAGCCACTTATATTTGCCAGGCACAATGCAGTACTTTGTCCTGCAATTTTTAATCAATTGTTGATTGACTGATTTTTTTAAAAAATAATTCTTTATACCTTAAAATTATGACCTCTAAATTCTGTCAAAATGTTAGAGCATTTTGTAATCTCTTGGCTTCAATAGAGTGGTTGACCAGCTGCTGAATAAGAGCTAGATTTTCAGAAAGAGGTTTAACTATGGGATTCATTGTGGAAGTTGTAAATTCCCCAAGGGCATTGTATGAGAAGAGAGATGAGGAGCCAAGGCTTTGGGGATCAGCAGCCAATGAGAGGTGAATTCCTGGGCAGATATACAGCAATGTGTCCTTTGAATGATCCTACTAGTGATGTTCAGTTTCAAGGCTTTATATTCTCAATGTTGCTAATCAACATGGCCCTGCATTGCCTATATGCAGTAGCAGGATAAGAGGGAAAACACAGTTTCCAGAACAGAGGGCCAAAAGTCAACCTTGGACTCCCTCAGGTGCAGATAGATGATGAGATATGCAGGCCTGTACTTTGGATATGGATAGTGGGCTGTGTGAATTTGTCCTGTCTTTTTTTTCACCAACTATTTCACCAGTTCAGAAGTTTCAGTCAAATATGACTGTGTTGGACTCTCTTGGCAGTTTCTCTTTTGTACATATGCTAGATCAACAGCATTGTGGTTATTATATGCATTTGGATTATAACATATTTTGTGTCTATCACAGTTACCCTTTAGGATTAAATTTAGGATTGCACCTCTCTGGTCAGTTGCAAAAGCAACCATTCTAAGGCATAGATATTTAGGGCATCTTGAAATTGGCTGTATTTGTTATAGCCTGATCATAAGGGGTGATTGAAATCCTCAAATATTAAAACTTCTCCATTACATGAATCCATGATTTCTTTCACCACCTCAGGACATCTAGAATTGTGATAAGATGGGTAGCAATATAACCTACAGCTAATAGAGATTTTAACCAGAAATGGCAATCAGTAATGATTTTGGAACTTAATTTGTACTTTATTTTTGGGCTGGGGGGGCGGTCAAAGAAAAATCATGCTACCAAAGTAAACTTGTTAATTGCTATTAGAATGACATTTACTCCTAATGTTCTCCTAATCCTGGGCAATTTGGTAAAGTTTCACACTTTCTGGTTAGTAAAAAAACAAAATAATCCCAATCTCCAGGCATACTAACTATACATTTTTTTTATTATTCATTCATTTTTATCCTGCCTTTATTATTTTCATATATAATTCAAGGTGGTGAACATACCTAACACTCCTTCTCCCTATTTTCTCCACAACAAACCTGTGAATTGGGTTGGGCTGAGAAAGAGTACTGGCCCAAAGTCACCCAGCCAGCTTTCATGCCTAAGAATTCATTATCTCTTCATTTCTAGCCTGATGTCTCAACCACTAGACCAAATTGGCTCCATTTATTGCAATGTAGCTTATGTCTCTTTTTCCTGTTTCCAGATATTGACGAATGCTCCTTTGATAGAACTTGTGATCACATCTGTGTAAATACACCAGGGAGTTTCCAGTGCCTGTGTCACAAAGGCTACATGCTGTATGGAGTCACCCACTGTGGAGGTATCAGTGTGATAGTTGGCGATGTATGGAACATTATCCCAGTCACTTTTTTGGTACCTCTTTTGTGAATCTTCATCCTGCTGCCTCTCCCAATGAGTAACATCTTCTTTCTTCTTTTAGGCAGAGCACTTAGTTCAGTTTGTTTGGCTTAGGTAGCCCTGGAATATGATTGGACACAATATATTTGGAGAACCATGTTACTCACAAATTTGTCTGCATAGTTAGCATTTATAAATATAATGTGCTGCATTTATAAATATAATGTGCTGCATAGTTAGTATTTATAAATATAATGTTTATCATCAGAATGCTTTGCTCTTAGCCAAAATTGTAACTTGGATAAATGGATTATGACATTTCAATAACAGATTCAGTAATAATTATTATGCAGATAGTGTTAGATGGCAGTGGTTGATCAGGATATTAGACAGGACCACAAGAAATTAGGATGAGACTATGTGTTCAAATGAGGCATTTGCTGTGCATATGGAATAATATTCTATATTCCATATTCAATGATCTAGAACTTCCAACAGTCTTCTTGGTATAAGATAAAGAGAGAGACAGAGCACAGAAATTTTTGCTGATCTAGAGTTTTCTCAACAGCTTCATATAAATTTTAGAAAACATAGAGGGCAAATAGAAACTCAAAGTATGGCATAGTCAGCGTTCAAGAAACCAAACAGCAGTCCCTAGCATAATTTTTAGGAGCATTTAGCCAAGACCCTTACTGACTAAACATTTCAATATACTGTGATAAATAGCTTGAAAGCTGCTGAGAAATCAGTACAACTAAACCATGATTAATGCCTGCTATTTACTTACCAGAATAATTCATCTACTAGCATGATGAATGAATTCCTTACTACAGCCAAAGATCATAAAATAGTCTACAAGATCTGAAATATTCAGACAATAATACATACATACATAATAAAACAAACAATAACATAAAGTCAGTAAGATATTATGTTCAACAGCTGGACAGATGGATTCCAGTTTTGTTAGGATCCCCTTGTTATCTCTTGCCACAGTCAGTGTACTGATAGGAAAAAAATTCTACATTTAACTCATAGTAGGCCTTCAGTCTACAAATAAAGAATAAAAAAGGTTGAGAAGAAATTTGTCTTAGAAAAATTACTGAAAGGGTGATAGAGAATAAGTCTGCTGTATAAATCCCTATAAAATTCACAGCATCACAGAACATGCCAACTGTTCCACTTTTCCTTGAGGCACATGGTTAGATACCCCTTTTATAGGGAAAGCTAATACTGTATATCTACCTTCCAGCATGGAAGAATGTTAAATCAAAGCTGTAGGAAGATTGTATGATGGTTAAACAGTTCCAAAGGAGGGTTTACAGTAATTGCTGACTAGCTTAAACTTGTTTTGTGATTCATTGTGTAGGATTTGGATGCTAAGTTAATCATAATCCATAGAAAGCAGAACCTTTGGAAAGAGGGAGAGAGGCAATTTATTGAATGTGTTCTTCTAGCAGACAAAATTTATTAAATATTATTAGAAGAGCTAGGCACGTCAGACAAAAGTTAAACTTCAATCAGAGAATAAAGATAGTTACCCAAACCTTATCACTTTAAGTAAATCAGTTTGTTGCCACAAGAAGGCATGGGGATGAACCTGGGTTTCTGAAGCACTGTTCTTGAGATTTTGATTGTTTCTACAAGGAAATAATTGGGATATGGCACTAATCCAGACATGTCAAACTTGGACGTCACGTGACATCACGCAATGTATTGGAGCTTTTTCTCCACTGCCAGCAATGGGGTGGGTGTGGTTTCCTGGTGATGCGTCCGGCCCGCGGGCCAGCAGTTTGACACCCCTGCTCTAATCAAATCCCATATTAGAACTTAGCCTCCAGTAATTTGATGGCACAAAGCACAAAACTGCCTCCTTGAGTCAAAAGAACTTAAAATATATGCCACTTTTTTTTTTGTACTATCTACAATACACATACTCATTTTGGGCCTCCTTGCCTAAGGAATGGAATACTAGCCTTATAGATTTAAATAATTTAACTTGCTTGGTGATTTTAGCACAGATGTTCTAATTGTTCATCTTGGAGCTTTTGGCAAATGCTACATCATTTGTCTTGTCTTCTGATAATTAATTAAAAGATAATTGTCAGTATTATAGTGATAAAAAATCTTCAATGCTCTCCTGAAATTGATTTATGATTGTGATAAAAATAACTTCATTATATCATAAAGTAGTATAAGCAAAAGTTGTCTAGCTTTTATAGGATAAGGAAGGCTCAGATCATGTCAGAACTTGATTAAAATGCTCTTTATGTCCAAGCTCACATTTAAAGCCAGGTCAGAAAAAATGTCTGCTCCATATTGTTTGTTTCATTCCATGTAAGTCACTGTTGCATAGAGTGAAGTATGGTGTATAGGAACCTACTTCAGCCTCAATTAAATGTTTCAGCAAACCATTTGCACTGATCTGTGGGCTCTGTTTTGTAGCTCTGATTACTTTTCAAGGAGTTCTAACCAGAATCTCTCTTGATCTTTCAGATATTGCCTTGACCTCAAAAGTTCCATCTTAATTCCACTTTAAAAACAAAATTCCTCATAGTTGAAATTGCTAGCTAGAAGCAATTTCTATAGCTTTGCTTGCTTGCTTTGTAAGAATTATTTTCATTTTTATACTGAGATATGTTTGGAGGAGCCCATGGTTTGTTCCTGCCAAATTAACTGTTTTTTTTTATTTTGAATCTGTAAATCACTGCACCTTAAATTTGCATTCAAATTTGCAGAAAGTTCTCATGATTCATTTTGTAGCATGCTGCGGTTTACACTGGCTTCCATTCACTTAGAGCAGTGGTTCTCAACCTTTGTGTGACGGCGACCCCATCACACGGCTGCGGCGCGCATGCGCAGCGCGCATGCGCAGCGACGCCCCCATGTGCAGCGCGCATGCGCGGTGCCGCCCCCTGAGGGGGAAAAATGGCGGATTGCGTTGTTTGGCGACCGCCGTAAAATGGTCGTTCGACCCCAAATGGGGTCGCGACCCATAGGTTGAGAACCGCTGACTTAGAGCTTCATTGAAACTTACTGTTTGTGAAGCCTAAACTTTGTACACAACTGAGTATTTTGAGGTTGTAAAATTATGTATGCACCAAAACTCAAATATATAAGTCAATAACATGTAAAACCCTATTTATTTTGCCAAGGCCATTCTCATTTTGTGTAGTTTATTCTTTATCAGTTATTTGCAGAATTGGGAGGGACAATGGTAATGGTAATGCATGTCTTGCTTCAGAGCTTACTCAGAGGTTTTTAGATTATAACAATTAACTAAATAATTTTTTGGCCTACTTTGAGGCATTTTTAAAGAAGCATGTTTCTCCTTTCCTGCTGTTAATGGAAGATTGTCATCTACTATTCAAGTTAAAACTTTCCTCTCTGATTCTAAATTCAGCAGAAAGCATTTAGAAATTATTGGCTATTTTTCCTGTAGCTGAAATTTTGTGGAGCTATGATTTATTTATACAGCGTAAACCATAACTGGCAGCGTACATATTGCTAAGCCAGATATTAAGCCAAAATATTACAGCATATTGGATGCATCTAGCTAGTATCTAGTAAATCTTCACAACCTTCAGCAAGCTTGTGAAATGTTAAATAACCTCTTTACTAATTAGCAAGGAGAAGATGGTATTCTGAATTTAGGACTCATTTGGTGTAAGAGAAGTGAGTTACATAAAACAGTAGGATGGGATGGAGCCAAGCTGAAAAATGCCTTGACAATGACATATGTGTCAGCACTTACCCTATTCCAAAGAGCTGGGAGCAAAGCTATGACCTAAATATGCCATGTTTTGTAGGAATGTGCTCTGGCAAAGCTTGGAAGGAAAACTGAAATATTTGTATGTGAAGCTTTCAGAACAAAATGGTCCTTTATGCCTTTTTTTCTCCCCTTTCTTCTGCTGTCATTGTGTTGGTGTGTATTTTTCCATGTCAGACCTTTAGCACTGATTTCCATGGTTGTGAAATTATGTGCCGTAAAGTAGCAGGAATGCTGAAAAAAAAAAGGATAACCTTGGCAGGCTGGCCAAATGCAGTTGTCTTTTTGAACTTCAGATCCCACACCATTCTGTTTTCTCTATTTTTCTCTATTGTTCTTCATTACATTTGATTTCAGGAGTGACATTTAAAGTGGCTAACTCATCACTGGTTGCCAATTCTTTTTCTTGGCAAAACCAGGGATGGCACAGGTCAAAGTAATTATCTACAACATGGTTTCTAAACTTCGACTACTTTAAGATGTGTGGACAACATTGATTAATAGAAAAATGTCTGAGTTTTCAGTTAGTTGATAACATGTCAAAGGAACCCTGAATTGCCTTTAAAATATGCTTGTCTCTTCCTCAGGTTTAGGGTGCTAAGCTGCTAAAAAAAAGATAGGACTTCTGAACCAGTAATTGTGGTATAGAAAAGGGGATGTAAAATATAAAGAAAAGGGAGTGTATTGTACAACGTGCTTGAATCAGGAGGATTGTTTGGAAAATATGGCTACTGTAGGCTAAAAGGGTAATAGGAATAGTAGGAATAGGAATAAATTGTAGACTCACCAGATGATGAGTTCATCAGATGTTACTTCAGATGTTTCTGTGTGGACAAAATTGCATGAGGAGGTGCAGAAATATCCAACAATGAGTTCATTTACCTAAAGCCCCTGGATTAACTTGTACAACCTCTGAAAATATTACATTCTGATATTTTGATGACAAGATATGTTGTCCAGTATTTCTGGGGGTCTTACAGTTGGGAAGGGTACACTGGATGAAGATCTCCTTTTCTTTCATCTTGCTTTCTTCTATTTATTTCCATACAAACGGAAGGCAATAGACTTCTGAACAAAGTTTTCCACAAAGCTCTAGTTTGGCTTACCAAATTAAAACATGCTTTAAAAATGTTTCTCTGCCAGTTTAATCCTGTGGTTTTATGTTGTAAAGCAAAAAGTAGAAAGGATTAAGTAATATTAGGGTGACCACATACATCATGTTTTAGAGCAATGGGACCAATTTAAAACCACTTTCATTCCATTTAATCCAAACATATGTCTGAGAGATGAGAGGGACATACAGATTCCTGTTACCTGCCCAAAGGACTACTGTGGATGGTCTTGAATGATAGATTCTTGAAATGATTTCAAGATGCTTCAAGGCAATCCTCATTTCCTCGTATTTTGTTGCCTCCAGAGTAATTTTGTGATTAAGATGAAGGATGATTTTCAGCCTATATTTGATTCTCTAGTCATTTAAAGGCTAAGAAGAAGTGAGAAGGGTTTTTTAAATATTATATTATATAATGCTTTCACTTTCAGGTTTCATGGAGGAAAAGAAGAATGATGAAAGAGAAGCATGGAAATATTGGCAATATTTAATTGCTAAACATAATCTATCCATTAGCCTTCCCTAACCTAATGTCCTCCAGTTGTATTATAGGGCATGATTCTGGAGGTCATTAGAATGGAGAGGGAAAATCTGCTGCATAAAAACACAGAATATAAACATGTATAACCCCATAGTAAGGCAGAGGAAGTGTTATACAATACATTCATATGTTTGGTACAGGGCCAAATGTGCCCAGATCAGTACTAAATGCAACAACCATACTGTATAGTAAAATCCCTATAACTGTAGATCACTGTAGTATGCCTGTACGCTCATCAGAACCACATACTATGGCAGATAGCCAAATAATTGTCTTACTTCCTTGTAACAATTTGTGGTAGCAAAACTTATAGCTGTAGTTTTCCCCATTTCTCTTCTTAGCTTCCTGTCCTCTGTTTTCAATTCCTTATCAGTCTTGTGGGTATCCTGGAATAGGGTCTTATTTTTCTTGCTGTTTTTATAAAGTGTCCTGTACACTCGTGGTCCAAGATGTGTAATCAGTTAAGTAAGCAGCCAGATTTCTTTTGAATGACAAATGGAACCAACAACAGATAGTTTCTTTATTGTAGTTGGTGTTGTTTCACCCCATTTTTCTTTCTCTCTCATTAATTTCTTTGTTCCACTTATTAGCCTCAGTTATAGTTCCTGGATTAGACCTAGAAGTCATAATGATTAATCCAGTCAGAAAGGTGTTTTTTTTATGAAATCCAAATAGTTTACTAATCATACTTCTTGGTCTTCCTACAGATGTTGATGAATGTAGTGTCAATCAAGGAGGTTGCAAGTTTGGATGTGTAAATACCCCAGGTAGCTACGAATGTACCTGCCCTGCAGGTTGCAAACTTCATTGGAATAGAAAAGATTGCATAGGTGAGTACTATATAGAAATGGCTTGAAATCATACTGCCTGATAGTGGGAAAATGCATTTCAACAAGATAGGTTTTTAACTGGGGTGAAAATTACCCTAGCCTAACAGGAAGATTGTTGTAAACATTGGTGATCTCTGAACGCCTTATTCATTGCTGCTTAGAATCTTTAAACTAGTATTTAACACTTGAAACAGTACGGATTGATGCCAGTAAAAATAGCTTCTTTATTTAGATACCACCCATCAGGAATTTTTGTTTGCTCAAAAGTCCTATTTGGTATTTTTTTATGGTTTGGACCTTTTTAATCTTTTTCTTTTTCCAAGTCTATTGCAACAAAACTTTAAATGAAAGATAAAAATGAAAGATAAAAAACCACCTTTGTGTTGGGAAATTCTAATTTCTAAAGTTTCTACAATTTGTGGCTCAGGCCCAGCAATGCATTCCTCTAGAGCAGTGTTTTTCAACCTTGACAATTTTAAGGCATGTGGACTTCAACTCCCAGAATTCCACAGCCAGCAATGCTGGCTGTGGAATTCTGGGAGTTGAAGTCCACATGCCTTAAAATTGTCAAGGTTGAGAAACACTGCTCTAGAGCAGGGGTAGGCAACCTTGGCTCTTTTATGACTTGTGGGCTTCAACTCCCAGCTATGCTGACTCAGGAATTCTGGAAGTTGAAGCCCACGAGTCATAAAAGAGCCAAGGTTGCCTACCCCTGCTCTAGAGGTTACTATATCAGCCATGAACTGAATGAGCCAGAGCTCATCATGAACAGGACTTGTTGCCATAACCCATGGCAGAGGCAAGTGAAGATAGCAATAGTGCACTGATGCTTATTTGTTTCTGCTGGAGATTCAGGTGTGGCTCTGCATTGTAGCCATCCCAGTGGCAGAGTCTGGCTACTCCTCTGTGAATTGCACTCTCATCTGCATAGTGCTATCAATTGATGCTTGTTCTTCAGAGCTGGAGATTTGTTTGGCTGGCACAGTATCTCCACGAGCCATACTTACCTGCAACAAGAATGGCAAGAAGGAAAGCTGCTCCCTCACCTGTGCCTCCAAGGCTCGCTTTCTGCCAGGTAAGTACTCAGATTCACACCCCACACATAAATCATTGTCATGTGATAGCTTTGCTGCAAGATGTTTTTAGAGCACTGTTTTGCACAATTAGGACTCCTTTGTCATACATGTACCACCTTTTAGTTAATCATTGACGCATATACACCCATGTCTTCTTTGTTTTCATTTTTTACTGCAGTTAAAACAGTCTGTCCTATACCTTAGTTTTGTGGGCTTAATAGTTTTTGCAATAGTTTTTTGAGATTTTCAACTGATGTTTGGTTTATAGCAGATACAAGAAGCTGGTCTTGTATTCAGTGTGTTAGCATTGAATGTAATATATAGGTAGTGCCAGTGTCAGTATTTATCATCCTTCAACAGTTGACAAAGTATAAAATGGCAACATGATTCATTGCTATCACTGGCAATGAAAATGGCTGAGACTGGGAGATGTCCACCATTTTCACATTCATACAGTATGCGCAACAGTGCTGTGCTTATGCAGTATTCACCTGGCACTTAGGATGAGCTGACTGCCAGTTTTCTATGCCCTGGATAAGAGAAGATCATACAAGCCTATCAGTCTGTTTCCCAAAGAAAACCCAGGAATATTTTCAATGTCCTATCACTATTTTTAATCTGCAAGTACCGTATATTCCGGCGTATAGGGCGACCCGGCATATAAGACGACCCCCTAGTTCAACGCCGGGTCGCAAGACGATCGACGCCGAGTCGCAAGACAATCGACGCCGAGTTGCATGCCTAGAAAGTCATCTTATATGATGGAAACTACCGGTATTTCCGGCATATAAGACGATCGACGCCGAGTCGCATGCCTAGAAAGTCGTCTTATACGCCGGAAACTACGTTATTTCCGCCGTATAAGATGATCGACGCCGAGTCGCATGCCTAGAAAGTCATCTTATACGCCAGAAACTACCTTATTTCCGGTGTATAAGACGACTCGGCGTATAAGACGACCCCCGAGTTCGGAGGCTGTTTCAACGCTCTCAAAAGTCATCTCATACGCCGGAATATACAATATTAACTGACAGTGCAGTCCCTGAAACTCTGTGAAGTGTTGTGCAGAAAAACATGAAAACTGCTTTCTGTATATTTAGCTCAGATCCATCCTTCTCTTGGTTGGTAGGCATTGTGATCTGACTCATGAATACCCCTGACCCTAAGGCTATAAGCCCTGGGAACCTGTTCAGGTTTTAACCCCACTCTGGCACAAACTATACTTCTTTTATGTATTTTTATTACACCAGGCTCTTTGGAGTATCGTTTAATAATGAAAATAATATAGTTATGAATCCTGTGTCAAACTGGGCTACAATCATCAGTGGGCAAGATCAGGCTTGCGATGATATTTTAAAACATATGGAGTTTGGGCTAGGCTGGGCTGAGCTTGCAAGTATAGATCCATGTGACAAGTGTTTAGAAGTATCTGGCCCTAGACCTCCATGCCTCTAAAGAGTCTTTTTCTTTGCAGAATCTGACAACAGCTACACTGTGAGCTGTGGGACCCCAATTCTGCAACAGGTGTCTCCACCAAGATCCAGCAATGGTAGCCATCCCTGCAGTGGTAAGTTTGGAGTCTTGAGCTCTCAGAGCTCCTCTCTAATACATTTGACTCCACAAATTTAGCATCTGCCTTTTCTTTTAGAGGCTGTTGCTGCTCCAATCAAACAAAAGGCTTCTTTTAAAATTAAAGATGCTAAATGCTACCTCCATCCACACATGAAAGGCAAGCAGGATGATACTGGCAGGAATGGTGGACTAGGTGAGGTACTCTTCCCTCTGTATGTCTTGGCAGAATCTTCAATTGCAATTATTTCCAATCTTACATTTTGTGAAACCAAGAACCAGTTTTTCAGATAGATGATGTTTTCTTGCCCCTCTAAGCCAACATTCTTAGTTAATCAGGAAAGCAATATATTAATGCATGGATCCTCCAGCCCGTATAAGAAAATGAACCATAGAAGGAGCTCTTGCAATTTATTTATTGTCTGTTTATTATAATGTCTAAACTGAAGTTTTCCATTTGTGGCTTATTCTATACTTTAACTTGTTAGAATTGGCTATCACAGTATTTGTTTCCATTTGTGAGAGGAACAAAAAGAAGTGATTAAAAAAAGTAGCAGTACTCTACTTATTTCTAATTCAGACAAAATTATTTGAATTCTGACAAAGCAATATGCATTTAAAGCTAGAGTTTTGTAAAACATTGTCCCATCATGGGCTTTATGACCAGGAGACTATGCCTTCTGTGTTACAGTTAACTACACAAAGCACTAATTAAAAAGCAAAGGGAGAATGAGAGTGAGATTGAGATTGAGGCTTGAGAAATCTAGATTTCTCTTGCAAGGGCTCTTGCTGAATATAATTCCAAATGCATGATTTAAGTAGAAGGTTGTTGAGGGTTTCCTTCACCAGAGCCAAATACTGAGAGATGTTTGCTAGAGCTCTGGGGTCCATTATCTAGAATGCCTTCATATGTCTCTTTAGTCCTTTCATCGGAGAAGGACTTAGTGTTTATAGAGGACTATGCCTGTCAAGGTTTTGAAAATATTACATGTTCCTTAAAGAATACTGACATTGATTCTACTAGGCGGATCAGCCCCTTGCTCAGATTGCCAAGTGTCTTTTGTGAACCTAAAGTGTGATTCATCAAAGAAAGGCAAAGGACGTCGGGTTCGCAACTCTCACAACAAAGAAGTGACTCGCATCACCCTGGAGTTTGAAGCTGAAATCAAACCTGAAGAGATCACAGGTCGAGTAAGTGACAGAAAAGACTGGGAAATGGGTGTGAGAGTTGAAAATTCACTTGGCATCATGATCATCATCATCATCCAATAATAGTGCATCACTATTTTCTTTTTTTTTTTAAGGGCAGGAATATGTTGTGAACAGGGACAGACCAGAAGCAGGAATCTTATCACAATTCAGCACAGACTATAACCCTTGTGATGAGTGGCATTTCATGACCAAGAATGAACTTTATTATATTATTAATATTAGTTCATTTTTGAAGAAAAAAACCTTTTCTTACCAAACCTAAAATTATTTGCAGTCGCTATCGCTAATCATGTTGATAAAAGAACATGGAAAATATGTGTGTGTGTATGTGTGTGTGTGTGTGTGTGTGTGTGTGTCTAAACTGCTTCAGTCAAGGCAATGCTAAGCAATATACAAAAGCAACAGCCAATACAATAATAATACTAAACAAAACATAAATATTAATAGTACAGTATTGCATTATGATATTAATATGTTATGCATTCTTTCTTCATAAACAGTAATCAACAAAATTTCAAAAGTCAAAACAGCCTGGAACAAAACAAACTACACAAGAACTGCATAGTTTAGGAAATTATATGTTTATATATGCATATACTTGTAATCTGGAAAAATACAAAATTTTAAACATTCATATTCAATATTATAGTCTAAAATCATATATGTGGGTGGAATTAATCAATTCAGAATTACTTAATTGATATTTGCAACTAAATGAGCGTAAAATAATGTTTGATGGAAGATATTTTTAAAAAAACTTTGCTGCTGTATTCATTTTCCAGCCAATGCTATTTCCCATATTTTTAAAAATTTATTGGTCTAAGAAAAATATTTTTTAAATTTTCAATTGTTTTTGTAAGCTATACTATTAGTTCATATCATTTAGCCATTGCAAGCCAAATTAAAGAAAAAATATACCTAGCCTAGAATTAATCACAGCTTATTGTATAATTGTAAATTTCTAAAAAATATTAAATCAAAAGTATAATTAAATGAACATTGCCACCAAATATGGTAATGCATATCCATTTGATTACAACTTTCCAAAGCAATCTACAAAGCCTGTGAAAACTATTGTTTAGAGTTTTTCAAACTTGGCGCCTTCATCTCCCAGAAGCGCTCACGTCTTCAAGCTGCCAAGATTGAGAAAAACTGCTATAATTAAATATTAAAAGAATGCAATAGCTTTATGAATTACTTTTATTGTAAAGTTCTTTTACAGAGTTTCAAGAGAACATGCTGTGTTTGATAACAAATTAAGTTCCTTAATTTTGAATTAAACAAATTTACAACACTCTTGTGCATGTTTTTGATTTGTAAGATTTTAATGAGGTTTAAATGTCTTCCAACTTTTAAAACAAGAAGAACAATGTGACAAAATGGCAAACCCCACTATGACTATCTTGAGTGGGTTCTGAGTTTCAGACGGCCCAGCCACAACCACCATGAGATATCCAGTGAGCATAATCGGATGTAAATATAGAAAAAGACCAGTAAATTGCTTCCACTATTTAGTTCAAACTGCTACAATGAAAGACAGAACCTCAATATCTTCTGAATGTTGTTGGATGGCTGTGTGCTGTTTGAAATCAATAGCAAACACCACTGAGCAGTATTGCAGGCTAATTCTGCTGACTGCAGCAGTTCGATTCTCACTGGCTTAAGGTTGATTCAGCCTTCCATCCTTCCGAGGTCAATAAAACAAGGACCCAGAGTGTTGGGGGCAATATGCTGACTCTGTAAACTGCTTAGAGAGGACTGTAAGTATGGTACTAAGTACTATTGCTATTGCTATCAAATGCAAAATTTGATCTATTGCTTTCCCTGACATGAAATTGCTATTGAATGAACTGATATGAGGAAAGAATACAAAATTGACATTTTGTATTCAACATGACTTTCCTCATTCCAGTGCTAAAAGATGACTTAATCTCCTTCATTTATCTTTAGCTAGCTGCAGTCTGAACTGTGTACGGCAGAAGATTGAGAAAAAGCTGAAGTTAGCTATCAAAGCCTTGAAGAAATCTATAAACCAGGAGCGATTTCTCATTCGTGTCTCAGGAATGGAATATGAGGTGGCCCGGAAGCTGAGCTTGTCTCCTGAGAGACAGGAGAGTTGTGGGCCAGGACAGCAGAGGCTGGCTTCCAAGTGTGGTAAGAGAAAAAGAAAAAAGAAAACAGCTAAGGCAGTGGGGAATGAGGAAGGAAAGAATTGAAGAGCCACTTGCACATTACCTACAAGCCTTTAGTGCTACTGCTGCTTAAATATCTTTTTTCAGCTTTTAACAACCACGGCAACTGCTATTTCTTTTCTACGAGAGCTAGAGTTATTATGCTCATTCTTTTAAAAGCTTAAGCTTTATTATGGTGCACTAGGCACTAGGGAGGATAAAGTGCCTTCCCTTCAAAATAGAGAAGTGTTAACTTGAACATTGTCTTTTTACCTATATCACTAGTACATTTGCCTTTCTCTTAGTTAGCTGCCTTCCAGGAACATACTACCATGGCCAGATGGAGCAGTGTGTCCTTTGCCCTCCAGGGACCTATCAGGAGAAAGAAGGCCAGCTCTCCTGTGACCTTTGCCCTGGGAGTGATGCTTTTGGGCCTACCGGAGCAACAAATATAAGCGCTTGCGCAGGTACAGGCATGAGCTGCAGTAGTTCCTAAGATTAGAACTGAAGTTCAAGATCCTAATACATGGGAGAATTTATATAACAGAAGTGCCAAGGAGAAGGGTTATTTGTGTTTCAAAAAAGTTCCTAAGAGGCGTGGTGGCTCAATGGCTTAATGATGCTGGAGATAGTTTCTGCTCCAGCAATTCAAATCTTAGCACTGTATGGCAGGGTATGCTCCTGTCACTTGCCTCAGCTTCTGTCCACCTAACAGATAGTTAGATTCCTGCCAGCTCTGAACCTTCCTAGTTGTGTCACCCTTTTACGAGGTGATTCCAGGGAAGGGAGGGGGCCAAGGATGCTGCTGCAGGAAGAGCCACTTGTCTTTGCTCTGATGCGAAGCCAGCTCACCCTCCTGTGGCACACTTTGGGAAGTGCAGAAGCATGTCCTAGAACAGAACTGGTAAATTGGCAAACAAACAACTACTCTGCAATAGCATTGTGGTCTCCTGGCTAATGTAACAACACCATACAATCATCATCATCATCATCATCATCATCAAGATGCTCAGAAAAAGTATTGTAAGGATTCCTTCCACACTAATAACAACCTTAAACCTTTATATTATTTAAGAAATGTGTCCCAAAAGCTTAGAATAACAGCTTTTGCAATTACTCAGCATATTGGTATTGCAAGCTTTCACAATATCTCAGTGTAACTTTAGAACAAGGACTCTCAAAGATAACTGTTAAATTATGCATTTTTTCCAGCAAAGTATCTTGCCCTGCAGTTGATAATTCACAAGAGCCTATAGCTCTTCATATTTTACCACATGGGGTCCTGATTCTCTGAAAGTGGACAGAAAAATAATTGTTGCCACTAAATGCCCTTAGAAAGAATAACAGGGAGGCAAGACGTGTTGTATGAGTGCAGCATTTTCCCTTTTATGTTTCTGCTGTTTCAGTTTCTCATCATTCTTTTCAAATAATGAATGCATTGACAACAAAGCAATCAACAAAAGCCCTTGTGAAGCTGAGGCAGCCAAATAACTATTATCAGCTTAATAACGATTTTGTCCAAATCACATCCAGGATTTGGATAAAAAGCTCTGATAATGGTTTGTCTCCTTACAATAACATTATCCTGATCCAACACTGAGACGTAGTATTTCCATAGGTAATTTCTTGGATGCTGGATGGTTCTATAGTCCTCTTTATGGTTTCATGTATTATAATGCCTCTTGCATACAGCAAATTCATCACATTACAAGCCATATGTGGAGAGAATGTACTTCATTTAGTGTAATTAATGTTTTTCCTCCTGAATGCTCATAGGTCAATGCCCACCTGGACAATATTCTGTAAATGGCTTTAAACCCTGTCAGTTGTGTGTGCGTGGCTCTTATCAGCCTGAAGCTGGCCGAGCGTTATGTTTCCATTGTGGTGGAGGCTTGACCACCAAGCATGATGGAGCTTTTTCCTTCCAGGATTGTGATACTAAAGGTATGCCTGTGGCAGTATCAGATTTTAGTTTAACATATTTCTTTTTCACTTGGTATTGTTTCTAGATTCCTTTTCCAAGGTCATCTCCTTAGATCTCTATACCTTTCTGCATGGTGAATCCATGCCCCTCCTTATGTGTTTAGATAGCACATGAGTGATTGGTTCCAGGAGGTTATCAATGCTTCTTGAGGAAGGAGGTTTTGGACCTGCTTTTAAGGAGGTGGTTGTGGACACTTTTTTGAAGAAGCCATTTTGGAATTCAGCTGCCTGTCTGTGATCTTGGAGATAGATATATTCAAGTCCTTGGAAACTCCAATGTGAAATCTCAGGGCTCTTCTCCATATTGTTTAGTAAATGACACCACAGGGAGATGTCATCCATAAATTTGGCATGAGGTGTCACCAGTAGGCTGATGATATTAAATTATACATTGCCATTCTGGGTTGAGCCAGTGATGGTGTGAAAGCCTTAAACTGATGTTGGAAGCTGTGAACAAAACTGGTGGAGCAAAACAAGTCAAATTAAATCTTATCAGTATGGAGTTGCTAATGGTCAATACACTTCTTGGCAATTAAACCTGATAGTTATTGTAGACAAGGTTGTGTTTCCCCTGATCTTCATGGAATTCTGAATCCTGCCCAAATAGCAGGTGGAAATCTTGAACAAGAGGGCCATGGTGTTCCACTTATACTCCTATCTGGAGCAGAATGCCCTGAACTGCTGCAATGCACTTTACATAGGGCTACTTTTGGAGAAGACCTGGTAGAAGAAGCTAGTATAAAATGGATTAACTGCATTGGTTGCTAGTAGGTTTCTTGATTTAATTTAAAGTGGTGGTTCTTATTTAAAGACCTTGGTGGAGCAGCACTGGTATATATTGGACAATCCTTGTTAGAATTAAAACAGACTGGTTCCATCTTTGACTGAGGGACTATTGAAAAGTTCTCTTCTTTCTAAGGTATGTGGGCAAAATGTTATGCTTTCTCTACAGGAGCCATCACATTATGGATATCTCCTATCCCCCATGCCATCTCCACCTTTCTGTAATTCCTCAAACAAGTCAAATATTTTATATCACTGTACTGGCTGACTTGTTGTGAACATCTATTTGCAGGGGTAACTTATTTTCTGATATTAAATTTGAACTAATTGTTCATTATTATGTTTTTATTTTTTCTTTGGGATGGTGTTTTATGCTTCCCAGAGTCCTTTAGTTTTGAGATAGTTATAAGTACTATAGAATGAAGACAAGGAGAGAAGGAGAAGGCATTCTGTTACTGTATTGTATTTATTATTGAAAATGACTTTTTATTTAAAAATATACTTAACCAATTAATGTTTTTCCTATTCTATTTAAACTGATTTTTTAAAAATTTTGTTCAATTTTCAGTTCAGTGCTCTCCAGGCCATTATTACAACACCAGTGTCCATCGCTGCATTCGTTGTGTTATAGGCACTTATCAGCCAGACTTCCGTCAAAACTATTGTATTGCATGTCCTGGGAATACTACAACAGACTTCGATGGTTCAACTTCTGTATCACAATGCAAAAGTATGTGTTGTCTTGCAAGAGTTGTATAGATTTTGGAAGAACAAAATAGAGAATTAATTTGTATAGATATGACTATCTGAAATTATCTGTTTTCTTGACTTCCAAATTTTGTGTATGTTACACACACACACACACACACACACACACATTTACATTGTATTACACCCACAAGGCAGATCGCCAGTTTCTCAGCTGATATTCCAGTATTTTTTATGTTTTCTTGCAGACCGTCAATGTGGTGGGGAACTGGGGGAGTACACTGGCTATATTGAGTCTCCCAATTATCCTGGAAACTATCCTGCAAATGTGGAATGCACTTGGAACATCAACCCACCTCCAAAGCGCAAGATTTTGATTGTGGTGCCTGAAATCTTCCTGCCTTCTGAGGATGAATGTGGGGATGTCCTGGTGATGCGGAAAAATTGTAGGTAACCCAATGCTTCCTTGGAACCATACAGAACATAGCTTTACAGCAGTGGTTCTCAACCTGTGGGTCAGGACCCCATTTGGGGTCGAACGACCATTTCACAGGGGTCACCAAACAACGCAGTCCGCCATTTTTTTCCCCTTTTCCTTAGCTGTGGTACTCCCTTTTATTCTATTGGCTTTTGAAAGCCAATAGAATAGACTCTCTTGAATAGAGTCTAATTCTATTGGCTTTCAAAAGCCAATAGGAATTGTCCAGGCTGTCTCTGCTCTTCTGAGCCCGCCAAAAGTCCCAAACGGTGCTGCACCAGTTGAGTAGTCCTCGACTTATGATCAGTTGGGGGTCGCAGCATTAAAAAGGTTGAGAACCACTGCTTTACAGGATTAGCTTTCAACAGATCCCTGTTGAATGTGTTGATGTAGTACCATCCTCCTTCATTTTCACTGGAGTAATGAGCAAACTAATAGCTGATTCTTCTAGCACTTCCTAAAGAGTTTAGTGTTTGGGTCTTTAGTTTCTACATTGAAACCGATGCCTTACAGTGATGACAGCCATCCAGATATTGATAGTCAGGATCTGATTTTTTTCTGGGTTAGAATATACTTATAGAGTTAAACTGGGAATACAATGACATTCAAAAATGTAATTCAGAGCAATCCATGAGTATAAGAAGATTTACTAATTATCATTGTTACTCAGAACATTATGTGAGAGTCTTTGAGTGCTACAAGTTGTCAGACAAGAACTTTATTGTGTAGTATTTGTCCCTCATTTATATCTATAGGAAATCAACACATGAACTTTGATTTGTATTCTTCTTGTCCCCCTCCTTCCATCATTTTTTCCTCCAGAAAATCTGTTAAAATGGGAAGGAGAAAGCAATTATACCATATTGTGGTTGCATAAAGGGTAGTCTTGCTGTTGTACTAAATATATACATACCCAAATTTAAAACTTTGAGGTATTAAGATCCAATCCTCAAAAATGGCCTCACATGAATGGGTCTGCCCTTATTTCAGATCTAGAAAGTTCAACTAAAGATGATACATCTTGGTTAAGATATGCTTCTTTTTTTTAAAAAAAAAAAAGTGGAATTCAAACATATCCTCCCTTTCATCTCTCAAGTGTAAGGATCTTTAGCAAAAGAAAGAAAAGCCTTTCATTGCTTACATATCTTCCTTCATCCCTGAAGATGTTTAAATGTTTTATGTTTAATGGTGCAAGAGCTATGTGATTCCAAACAATGTACGAACATATCTGTTTTCTTTTACAGCATCTCCGCCCTCCATCACAACCTATGAGACATGCCAGACTTATGAGAGGCCTATAGCATTCACTGCAAGGTCCCGAAAATTATGGATTAACTTTAAAACCAGTGAAGCTAACAGCGCTAGAGGCTTCCAAATTCCTTATGTCACATATGATGGTAAGCATGAGAAAGTTATAGAGCTATGGTATTTTTAGCATATAGGTACCTTGTGGACCTATGCTTCCTAGTCCTTCTTCTGATGTCATTTGGCCCCAATCCTTGATGTTAAACATGGACATCTGAAAAACTTTCACACATACAAACATCCAAATATCTTATACATTTAATTATTTAGCCTTTGCAGTATTCATGCAACATACACAGATACTGGAAAGCATGGGTGGCAAAATGCAATTCTCCAAATAAGATTTCTGGCAGTAAAATATTATTTCAAGTACCGTAAATGCCGGCGTACAAGGCGACCCAGTATATAAGACGACCTCCGTCTTTATAGCCGGGCCACATTCCTAGAACGTCGTCTTATACGCCGGAAACTACCAGTATTTCTGGCGTATAAGACGACTCGGCGTATAAGACGACCCCCGTCTTTGGCGCCGATTTCAGCGCTCGCGGAAGTCGTCTTATACGCCGGCATTTACGGTATATAAAGAAGTTGAGTACTTCTGACCAAGGTATTAATGTAATTAATGAGAATGAGTGTCTTTTTAATATCTGTAGGTGGGGAGAGGGGATATTAATCATAAAAGTAAAAAATGCCAAGGTCTGTTGTCTTCCTTTTAATTTTTTAAAATTTTGGTATTTCTTTCAAAAAGTATATACAAATGTCCAATAGCTGTGATATAATTTTCTTGAATTGTTGTTTTCAATTTATTGAAATGTGACAGCTATATGGCAAGAGTCTTCAGTTGGTTCATATAGCAAGCAATACAATATCAAGCTTCCTTCTATTTCTAAATATCTAAATAGTTAAACATGCATTTATAAATAGCTATTACAAGACTGGGTTTTTTGCAAAAAAATTCAATGCTAGAAGGAGATTCTCAAGCACTTTAGGTTGCTGATCCATATGCATCAAAAATGTTAAACTGATAAAATTTTTATTATCTCTTGCTATAGTCTCAGTAACTCTAGAATTATGTGTAGAACTATTGTCTAGTTCTACACCATTTTCCTTCATTCATCTATCTCTCAGGAATGCTTGTCTTTGGATCTTACAGATGACTTTGTTAATATCACTTTCTCTTTCTGATGCTAATGATTTACCATGAAATGAGGTCCAACTCTTGCAGAGCATATGGAAGATTTTGTCCAGGTTGATACGCTTTCCATTCGGTTCTTCAGGTCTTCCAATGTGCCCCTATTTCTGTTCTAATTTATTCTATGCACTTTGCTACTTATTCTCTTTTATCATTCTTTCTTTTAACTTTTCCCAGCATTATAGATTTCTCAAGAGGGCCAAGTCTTCCAATAATGTATTCAAAATGTAATTTGAGCCTGGTCATTTGTCCTTGGTGAAAACTTTGGAGTGATTTGTTGTTTATCCGGCAAGCAATAGTCTCCAGACTTTTTTGCAACTCCAAAGTTTAAAAGGAGAATATTCTTCTTCACAGTCCAACTCATGCTTCCATAGGGAAGTGTCATAGGGAAAACCATTGCTATAATGTATCATGGCATCTGAATATCTTTTCCTCATTGCTATTCTACCAACTTCTAGTTAGAGGTTTATTTCTTTATTCCGCCTTCCCTCCAAATTCCATGAGGCAACTCTGGAGATTATCAAAATCTTTTTATGATGCATGTACAGTATGTATACATTGCACTCAAAATAAATTTACTGGCTGCTCTTCTTGTATCTTTGTGACCATTTTACCCAATAATACAGAGGATTATGAACAGCTGGTGGAAGACATTGTCCGAGATGGCAGACTCTATGCATCTGAAAATCATCAGGAAATATTGAAGGTAAGGCTATTTTTTATATTACTGGATAAGGATTTGATTCATTGGTATCCTTCAGCACAGGGGTTCCCAACCCTTGGTCTGTGGACCGGTTCCTATCCACGGCACGCCAGAAACTGGGCCACACAAAAAAGTAAAGCCCCATCTGCGGGACGCAGGCAGCATGTGAAACTACGCCCCCTCCAATCCGCAGAAAATCCTCTCTCCATGGAACCAATCCCTGGTGCCCAAAAGGTTGCGGGCCACTGCTTTAGCACACATATGCTTACGTGCATTGTTTTCTATAGATCTCATATTTTAAACATATTTGAAAGCGGATCTAATGATTATTTTTTTTTATTAGAGAACTTGGAGAGCTCCTTGTAATGTGAGGAGAAATAGCAAATGCTAACATAAAGCCAAAAAGCATTTCACTGAGTGTACATTTTAGAAAATGGCTTTCAGTTAGTCTCTCCCCTACCTCTTTTTTTCAGATACAACTGTAGAAATTATGAATGCAAATCCACATCAAGTTGTATGATGAGAGGCTTTAATGATTTCCTTCCTGCTCCAGCTTTTTGAGAGAAATTGTTCCTTTCCGTTTGGGGAAATAGTAGCTTGAGGAATTGAAGAAGTTATAGAAATAGCTCTGTTTTTACTTAATTTAAAATATAACAGAAGGTACACTTGTAATAATGGTACTGCACTTATGTTTAACATATGTAGCAGACTCTTTTTTTCCCAATGGTATACTAGTGGAAAAACATAAGGTTGGGGGATGTGGCAGTTTTTTTCCTTGCACACAATTTGAAATTGAACCATACTTTTCAAACAGAATGAAAATACTTTTCATTCAGAATGAAAATATTTTCTTTCAGAAAATCTGCCATTTGGTTATGTTTTTAAAACTTATCACCAGAGCTCAGGATTGGGGAGTATATATCTGCATTTAGAATGACTTTGCAAAGCTTTCATGGAGATCAGGAAAATTAGCTAGTTAATATATAATCCAAATAATTATTCATTTTGTAGGATTTTCTCCACTCATGGATGTGAAAAAAAATAGATGTACACTGAGCAAAATTGAAAAAACGGGGGGAGCAAATGAATTTTGTATTCTTGGGCCTCACAGAAACTCAAAATACCTTAGCACAAAACCAACACAATATATGCTTCTCTAAGCTGGCTACAACTTGTAAACTATACAAGGCAGCACAGCAATTCACAAAATATGTCAAAAACCAGTCCATCACCAGCCACATCAACATACTTATAAGAATGACCCCTGAATTCATTAATACTAGAGATATAGGACAACCTATGTGCTACACAGGAACAGATGGAGCCTATTGTCTTCCATATTTCTCCCCAATAATATGTTATTAAAGAAATATGTGCCATGGTATTATCATATAATGATTGCATATTTTTTCTAGCTACACTATTAGACATGGATTAATAGTGTTGTATCTCACTATAACATACAGTATGGGTATGGATATATTTCATGGATTTTCTTGCTCATTGGTTTGGAATGGTTTGGTGCATATAAAATAATCTGTTGGATTAGTGATTCCCCTATTGATTCCATTCTCAACCTTGCTAGTTATATAGCAAAGGTATCATAGTACTAGTTTCTAGGCTAGCTATCTCTTTGTCAAAGATTCTATGGACTATTACAAGTCTTGTGATTACATCTAAAGTTGTCATTGACTTCCCTTACAGGACAAGAAGTTAATCAAGGCTTTCTTTGACGTGTTAGCTCATCCACAAAACTACTTTAAATACACCGAAAAACATAAGGAAATGCTGCCACGTTCTTTCATCAAACTCCTCCGCTCCAAAGTTTCAAGTTTTCTTAGACCTTACAAATAACATCATATTTTCACCAACCTTCTGGGTTTCTCGGCTGCCAAGAAAACTTTTTTTCTTATGCTTATTGTTATTTTTCGGTGAATTTTTTTCTACAAATAGAAACCCACCATCTTCACTATGCAGATGCGTCTAATAATTGGTCGTTTCTTGGCTTTTCTTCAAATCACATTTACTGAAGATTTGGCCATGGAAGGAACAACTGGCCACAAGGAACTAAATTCCCTCCCTTGGGTTTCCATACTGAAACCTCAGTCCATTGAGATCACCCATCTCAGTAAGTGACACACTCTTCACAAAAGTCCTCTGCTGGGACCAGTATCTCCCAGTCAATTCAGCTTTCTCATATATATATATATATATATGCCATCACGTGCAGCTCCTTGTGCTGCCAGGCAGTTGCTAAAGATGCTGTTTGGATACATTTCTCTGCATGACTGTTTCCAAAAAGAAGTACTTCTGCTATCGTATCATGCCTCTGCTTCTGGGACAGCAATGAAATGGGAAGACTCTGAGCAACTGCTAAGCAATGGAATTGATCCAGCTGACTATTTTGGAAAGAACTGAGAGCAATGGACACCTGGACTGTGGAAGGTTCTGCCTTATTTATCAGACTGTTGTGCTTTTAATTGAAAAATGAATCAAGCCGTCTTGCAGAGAGGATCAAACAAGATACATGGGGGAGGGGATACAATGGATATAGATCATTCAATAAAAAAGCGTATCACAGAAATGTGAAAAGAAATTGCCCTTGTTGGGAATGGCAAATGTGGTGACTAGAAGAACATCATTTCATGATGGATTTTGGTGTTAAAGCCTGGCCTAGCCACCTACTCATACAGAATAATGTCTGGAAAAGGGGAGGGGGGGGAGCAGAAGTTGATAAAAAGTGAAATTTTCTGATATGATTTTCCCCACAGACATTTGTGCTGAGAGATCAGTCTTCTTGTAAGCTCTGCCAAAGAGTAACTCAGTGATAAGAACGCAAGTGGTGTGAAGGGCAGGAGTAAGTGAATGTGCACTAGGATGCTCCCCTTTCTACCTTTTTCATATTATTAAGTGCAATCATTTTGAGTTGTCTTTATATTATTTAGAGGGTTTTTTTCCCACTAGAAACTACAATATTTATACCTGTCTGAGAAAAGAGGATATGTGTGTGCATATGCGAGAAAAAGAAAAGAATCCAAACATGGAATTGGGAGAATGATGACTAAATATGACTACATTTTCAGCTTTTGAAATTTTATTTTCTTCACTAAAGTAAACTGCAACGTAACTCCTAAAGATAGAGTTTGTATATGTGAAATTATGCTTTGATAACAAGCGGCTCCTGAAAGTCAGTTCAATTAAAATATTATCAAAGGCATCTTTAAAGAATATATCAAGAATCATATACTGGAATCTATCCCCGTATTAAAACTCTTTTAACACATTCAACGTGCTGCTTAATCTCACTCTTTCTGGCAATTTAGCTTTGTACAAGTAGAAGAATGTTTGATTCTAAGATATTATACAGAGATGTCTAGGTTCTCTTTCTGATGCTCCAATAAGCTGCAGGGTCTGTAAAGGGTCTCGGGTCTTTTGGGAAGTTGTACCTTTTAACTCGAAGTTTTTTCTCCCTTCTAATTTCAAAAATGTAGCTATGGATTCTTAGTGAGGAGGGAAATGTTTTCTGCACCTACTTAGAAGTGCTCTTGCTTTCTCATGCTACAAAGCTGAATCCTGTATTGAATTTGGATTTTAGAATGGCTCTTGTTGATATGAAATCATCATGAGTGTTTTTTCCTTGTCCATTTCAAATTATATAAACTGTCAAGGCAAGCTACTATATATAAAAAAGAGAGCAAACCCCACTCCCTTCTAGCACTAAGGATGAAATGTCTGCCAGCAAACAACCAAGCTCAGAGATCATTAAAGACACCACAGTTACATAAACTGTCAGTCAAGCACTGATTCATATTCAAGTGCAAATGCTGATGTTGAAAAGCAGTCTTAAGTCTAACCTAGCAATCAGAATTATGGAAAGCGGTGTGCAATTATAATCAGTTCATGTACTATACTGTCAATTTTCACCAGTATTGTGTGCTATGGATTTTCTATGTCTTATTTTTAACCTGATCCAAAATCAAGAAATAGTTGTACCAAATTCACATTTCAGCCATGAAACAGAATGTAGTGGAACCACAGGGAAAGGGGCCCTGTCACAGGGAATAAAGAGACATTCCATCATGTGGAGGGGGGGGGGAGGGGAGAAGGAAACATTTGAGATTAAACTCTTAGGTGTATCCGTCCTTTTTCCAAGGGAAGGCAGACAATCTGGGAAGATACTTGTAATATAGGTGATTGAATAATAAAATATCAGCTTGGGCCTATTCATAAGTGGTTCTAGTTGCTTGCACCCAACAAAGCAGTGGTTTTGATGTAAACACAGTTCTAGTATTTTAGTCAGTGAAATTCCATTATTATAAATGCTAATTGGATGCAGTATTTTCTTGAACTTACAAGCATTCGTTTATTTGGTGGAAGTGGACAGAGGTAGACACTCAAGTTGGTTATTTACTTTAGAGAAAAATAATAGAGACATAACCAGAAATGAGGGACAGCTTTGAAAAGAAAAACAATGTGTTGAATTTTGCTTTGGATTCTACTTGGTTTCTGTTATGAGATCTATTTTGCCTGTATCAATATGTAAAAAGTAAAAAAAAAAATTGACAAGCTGAAAAGTCCATCTCAAATAGGAAGTATAACCAGATATAAACAATAAAGCTAAATTATTTATAGTTGCTGTGCCATATGTCATCATCCAGTATCCCTTGAAAAATAATGAAAAAGGGTGTAGTTCGTAAAGTTATTTGCACTTGATGAAAAAATTGTATCTGATTTGTAAAAATAAAATTTTGCATTTCATATTACCCATTTAAATTATTAAATGGAATTTCTTGGTGTTTCATTGATATTCTAGATTTTTTCCCATTGTTTGTAAAATGGCTAATTGCTAATGCATATTTATTGCTGCTTGCCGTTCTGTTTCTCCCTTCCTTTAAGTTTCTTTTTCTCTTTGGAAATCAGCCAATTTTTTTCCATTAGACAGTTTGTGGGCACCAACAATTATGGTTCCAAAGCCTGCACATAGTATTTGTACTGTTAAATGCATATTATTGTCTGTTATGCCTTTCTGCTAAAAAATAAAAAAAACATAACTCCTCCAATACAAAAGCAATTAAAATTGTATAAAAATAGCACAAATGGAAAGCATGCCAATAGTATGAATGAAAATAATTATGTCTTTTCCTGTACCAGAGATGGGGATCATTTTTAGATGTTACTAAGCTGCAACTCCCAATGTTATTCACTGTTTATAAAGGCTGGAGGTACTATGACCCACAGATGTTCAGCAATGTTTTCCAGAAAGAGAAATTAGGTTTGTCATCATGTCTTACTGTATCCCTCAGTAGTAGCTCATAGGGATTTTACAAAGCCATTTGAAGAGATAGGGTTGGCAGAAGGGTTATTGGCCTGCACTGCATATTCAGAGGTCTATGAAAACTTGTTGCAGCCAACTTGCTGCGGAACAACTCACCATGGCCAATTTGCTGTGGGACAAGAGTTACACTAATATCAAAGAAATGGTGGAATACAATCATTAAAGAATGGATGCAAAAGGAGGGACAGAATGAAACGTCAATGACAAAAATTTAAACAATTTTTATTTCAAATAATTAAATTGAATTATTAAATTATCCCACAGTGAGTTGGCTGCAGCGAGTTGACTGTGACAAGTTGCCCCATTCTGTATAGGAGGGACCCTTCAAGATGTGGTGCTGAACCTTCAAGAGGATTGGCATACTTTAAACACCAGAGTCAGATATATTTTATCTGGCAGCTTTGCATAGTTCTGTCATACTTATCAAAATTAATATCACTTTGGGGGGAAAAAAGATGCACAACTTTTTTTTTGACTCTTTTCTAGAAATGAACATAGGAAAACATGCTGGGTAATACCAATAATGTATTTTCCTACAGCAACCTTTTTCAAGCAGAAAGTTTTAGGAAACTAAGGAGCAGAATTGAAAGGCAGTAACGTTCTTATTTCCTAGCAACTGTATTTCAGAAGCATATTATTTCTAGAGGTTGGATATAATTATGACTTGATAATTATTTGATAATACTTTTTCTCAGTTAATCTGAAGTCCACAGATTACTTGAGACTATCTGATAATATGTTTAATATTTTATAATTTTCTTTTACAATAGCATTCTGTGTTTTCCAATAACCATAAATCAGAAGTACATTTCTAGAGACCGGATATAACCATGATTTGGGACTATTTGATAATGCTTTTCCTCCATTAATCTGAAGTCTACATACTTGTCAAAATTACATTCATATGGCCATCCCTTCTTTTGCAATCTCTAATCGTTGCTATCAAAGATAATTATTTTATTATTTTCATTGCTTCAGTGCAAAGGTAAGTATTTTTAAAAGCTGAAGGATCAATGAGTTGCAAAATCTTTCTGGCTAAATAAATGCTTGGGGACCTTATTGCTAGTATATTACTATACTTACCCCTTAGTCAAAAGTGTATAAGTTTGCTGTTCTGACATACCAAATTGCTAAAATTTGCAGACTATTAGAATCGTGTGGCAAAAGTACAGCAAAACCTGCTCTTGTTTACTAAGAAATAAAGTTTATCTAAAATGAACTGTTTGATTTCTGAAATCTTGGCTTTTGGATATGGTTTGGAAGAGAGAAATTTCCTCCCATATTGTTATTTTTCAGATATTTGTGATTACTGATAAGTAGGGGTGCTTCTAATGTGGATAGCTTCTAATAAAAAATGGCATGAGTGTTTCCCATTTCTTTCTGCTGGGGTTGTTGTTAGGGTTACGTATTTTGGTTAAAATTTGGATGAACACTAAATAGAATAAATACTGTATGGTACAGAAAGAATCAACTCTACTGCCCCTCTTATTTGCATAGATTTTTGCTGCCAAGTTTTGGTTGACACCTAATTGTGATAACAAGTTGGCAGAAGCAGGGGGTTAAAACTTAAGGAGTTTAATAAGCTGAAAATCTCTTAACAAGTTTTGCATTAAGCCACAATAAATGGCTTAAAAGTTGAAAAAGGATAATAGCTTTGATGTCACTACCTCCACTAAATACACAATGATTTAAAAATAAAATAATCCCATAGTTCATTTGAAGCACTTATATGAATAACAATTAGTATAGCAGGTTGCAAACTTGTTTGTATGGGAGGGGGCTGATCGTAGAACAGATGTTACAGCTTTAGCTCCTTTCTTCAAATATTCAAATCTTTCATCACAACATCCCTCCTTCCTCTTTTAGAATCAAGCTTTTAAAAAGTTTTTCATTGATAAATGTCTATGGAGATTGTCATTCATCCAGGTCATCGTTGTCCCAAAGATGCTTTTTCACGAGGCAATTGGACTATTTTCTTTGAAGACATTTCACTTCTCATCCAAGAAGCTTCTGGATGGTAGGGAATGAAAGGATTTATACTCCTTCCAGATAGCTAGTCGTTGAGGCTACCTGGAGGTTTATCTGTGTCATCAGGGTCACCTCAGTAGTGCAAATGGGTGTGAAGCCTTAGAACTGTTAAAAGGACTGTGTTGTAGACTGGACATAGATGATGTTGTATACCTCTCTTGAGAGAGGGCTGTTCAGTTTTGACATAGATGGGCTCTTTGACCCCTCTTTCAAACCAGTGGCCCTGTCCAAAATGTGGACTTTGTTGCCTTCAAAAGAGTGCCCTTTGTCATTTAAATGCAGATGGCCTGCTGAATCTTGTCCGGATGGGTTTGCTCTATGTTATGCCATGCGTTTATGAATTGGTTGTTTTGTTTCCCCAATGTACAGATCTGTGCATGGCTCACTGCATTGTATGGCATATTTTCTGCGTCGCATGAGAAAAGCACATCTTCCTTCTCCTGTCCTTATCATTATCTGGGACACTACACATCCTCTTCACGACCTGTTTTCCTTGTTACCTTCTGGGAGGAGGCTTCGTGGTATCCTAAGCAGAACATCCAGATTCAGCCATAGTTTCATTCCATACAGCATTAAACTTGTGAATTCTCAAGCTTCCTCCTTCTGTTATATATTCAAGATGGACAGTGTTTAATATTTATTTGTTATGTATATGTAGGGGTGTGAGTCCACACGTTGTATATAGTATGTTTAGGTGTGTGTCATGTACGTGTTCACTTTGAGAGCGAGCAACTAAATTTCATTTTTGATGTGTGCTGCCCATAGTAAAAAGTGACAATAAAGGTTATCTTATCTTATATATACCACGTGTTTGATAAGACCCAGCAGATGGCAGCACGTAGCTGTCTGAGAGCGATGGGCGGTTCAAAAATGTGAAAAATAATACTTGAATGAGGTTGAGTTCAAAGTTTAGAGTTGTAGGTGAGACTAGAATTCCAAAAACTTCTGAGGAAGTTCCTGGAAAATCACTTCCATATGTTGCTAAGAAAATTGCACACAGACCATGCAGTCTATGTCAGTAAATCAGCAGGCGTTAGGCTCCAGTCGAAGACTTTATTGGTATTCTTAATGGGCATGTAGTTACTTCAAGGAGGCAACACAGTCGCTGGCAAGGAGAAAACCTCTTTTAACCCCCGAAGCTTTCATAAAAATTAGCCTGGTTCTGAATGAAAACTATTTTCATTTTGTTTGAAAAGCATGACTCAATTTCAAACCGTGTGCAAGGAGATAAATTGCCACATCTCCCAACCTTCTATTTTTCCACTACGGTTGTGTACCCCACTCATCTCAACATAAAGTTTCTGAAACTCGGGAGGAATAGCGAGAAGCCAATTAACAAATAAGCAGGCAGAACTTTTAATTGCAAAGGAAACAAGCTGATCCGGATTGCCCACGCCTGCGAGTTGAGCTGCTGCATTGCTTTCCACCCGAGAATACTCAGGTTTTTAGGCATTCGAGTCCCATGCAGGAATTACACCAATGACAGCAAATTATCCGTTTTTACTACAATACTCAAAAGAAAAAAAAAATACCAGCAAGTCAACGATTAAAAATTGCAACACAGTAAATCTCTCTGTATTTAAACTGATTAAAGTAAAGGCGCCCAAGAAAACCATGCGGTTTACGAATTTTAGCGATGTGATAAAGAGGTGGAAATCAAGAAGTGGAAGCCAGATCTAATCTGACTTGCATTTGGTTGGAAGGCAGGCTATAGTTCCGCCAAAAGCCGAAGGTGCAAATGAAAGGGCAGACGCTTCACCGCGGTTTGTGCGCATAACAGGAAATGTTCCTGCCAAGAACAGCGGATTCTGCTTTCCTTTTCCGGAAACTTTCCGAAACCCCGGAACCTGGTTAGAAGGCAGTGAAAAGTAGAAGAAGCCGGGCTTAGACGGTTGCATACAGGCTGCGGGGCTAACAGCTGTAGTGAGGGCCGGTGCATGGCGGTCAGGCGGAGGACTCGGCCCTCCACAGGTCGGTGCCGATAGGGAGGCGGGGATGAGGAAAGATGCTCAGCCCTAGCCGTTAGGGGGGTGGATTCTTTTCCCCTTCTCCCTCGCCGATGCCTTTTGAATTTGTTCTTTTTGAATTTTGGAAGAGAAAGAGGAGAGACCCTCCAGGTCCCTCTTTAGGAGCGGGTGCTTTCCGCTGCGCGACCCGTCACTTTGCGATCCTATCTTGGGTTCCCCCCCCACCCTTGCATTTCAGAGCCCTGCCGAGTCCAGCTTCCATAGCTTACAATCGGCGTGCACAAATCAGAGTGGAATTCTCTTGAGAGGGAGGGGAAGCTGCGTCGTTTGTGTTTTTTTGGATGTGGGAATAGTGCCTGAGGTTGCCAGAATTGCCAGCTTTTGTCTGTTCGGTCAATACCTCCTTAACCCATCACCTCGAGCAGAAATGCAGTGGCCTAATCCTTCGACATCAGTGGCCGGTTCTCTTGAGAAAAGATTTTGCTGGTTGTATCCGTTCAGTCAGTCAGAAGAAAAAAGTTTTTCATGGAATCTTCTTAAAACTTGTTCAAGACAGGAAGGAAACTTTTGGTAGAAACTGTCCGGTCTGATAGCATCACTTAAAGAAAGCACCTTATATGTATGCGTCTCTGTTCAAATATTAAATCTGTGTTCAGAGAACATGCAAGAGAAAATTTGGCTGACTTGTTCATTGTGTGAACAAGATGTTGCTAATAGTGTAGTGTGATTTGCAATTTAATGTGTGAATTCAATCAGTCGTGGTTAAGTAATTTCCTCCCTTACTCAAAATCACTTATCAGAAAGCTAATGTTGATAAAATAAGTCAGTTTAAATGTTTCTGTTGTACTTGGGTAGCGATAGATGAACTTATTGACCAAAGAAAAAACACTTTTACTCAATTTCAGATAACTTACACAGATTTGGGAAGCACTGGTTTAGATTGTGTGAACATCACCAAACTCTTCAACCTTAGTTCAGGTTTTTTGGACTATTTTTGGCACAGGTTATTGTACCCTATTGGCCACAGGATGGGTAGCTATCACCTCACAGGGTGCTAGTTGGGAAAATAAGAGGAAGTAGTATTAGGTATGTTCATCATCTTGAGTCATTAATAAAGTAATAAAAATGGAATAAGAATCTAATAAACTTCTGTTTCAGAAGTTGAAATAGAAAAGTTGGGTCCAAATTTTCTGACTTCTAAAACTTCCCATCTCCACCTCATCCCATTCTAGAATCTTTTACATAAAAGATGCATTTATATGTTTGAAGAAGATAATACCATGCCATTTCTATTTTGGAATCCTGGAGCTGGCAATAATTCTCTACCATTTTTGTTACTATGTATACCTGCCATTGTGTAATTAAATGTAATGAAAAGCAGCCAGAAACTTGATTTTAAAACTTGAGTTTATTAATATAGTTCCTGTTGGTGTCTCAAATAACAAATGATTTGGTACCAGATAAAAGCTTATTTGTAGTCTTTGTTGTATTCTCTGCAAAAAAAAATCCTATATATTTCTGTTAAGATAGTTTCTGTCTTATTGGGCTTCAAATCAATCACCATTGCATCTCATGGATTGCACAAGGATGTGCTTCATTTTAACAAAAGTAAATGAATAATATTTAGCCAGTTCTCATAACAAGTTATATTGCTGTAGAGTAAATAGATTTCTAAAATCTATTTTATCTTTATTAGAATTTGAGATCTACCAACACTCACCAGCAGCAAAAGCTTACATTTAGAATTAAGTAAATAGGGAAAGAGTTTATTTTATTATGATTTATTAATCAATTTTCTAGAGTAAATTCTACCGTAGTATCAATCTGTTTTCATAGTGACACAAATGAAATATATGTTTTGTTTTAGATAATTTTTTCATTCATCTATGTTATTTCTAAAAACAAACAGGCAATAAAAATATAAGTTATGCCATCTTTTCCATTAATTTTAAATAGCGAAGATTGGGTTTGCAATATAGTAAAAATAAAGATGCCCCAGCTTCTTTAGCACCCATATACCAATCTATTTCAGCTGGAGCCAATTATGGTTGGCTAATCTACAGCTCTGAACATGTGAATTTCTAACTAAATTTTGGACCTCTGCCTAGCTTATATTGCAGAAAAAAATCTCTGTTTACATCACCGGAATAGATTGTGAAGAGGGATGTCTGAAGAACTTGATATATCATTTAGGTTGGAGAAAACAAGGGAAATAAATATGAAATAAAGTGAAATAAATATGAAACCACTTCACATCACACATACCAAAAAGGCCTGTCTATCCCAGAAAACAAAGTAGAAGTATTAAGTCACAGGAAAAATGTTTCCAGATAAATTCTCAGTGTAGTTTGACAGTAGAACCAACTATCAATGGAAATTGTAAAATTTTTTGCTAGATGTGTTTAATAGAGGCCAGATAGCCATTACTTAAGGATGTTTCGATTTAGATATGTTGGTCTAATTGGCTTTTTCCAATTTTACTTTTCCATGCCAAAGACACTTTCTATAAAAAACCATTCATACCATGAATTTTTTTCTCTGCAGGTGTAAAAAGAAATAAAGGATAGGCTTAGGACAAGCTACCTTTATGCTTGGGTTGCTTAATATTCAGCTTGTTGATCTGTGAAAATTCTTCACTTGGTATAAAGCATGAAACCACTGATTAGCCATGTGAGGTAAGGTATCTTTACTTTTCTCATCTTGGTTTTGTCCAAATATCAAGTTGTACCTCAGAGGAATATGCCTAACAGAAAAAAGATTCTGGTTCCAGTTATGTATATATTTATTTTAACTTACTTTTTAAATCACTGCTTACCACCACCAAAAGCTATATACATTATTCTATAATAGTAAGAATAGCTCTGTAGAACAAAAGAATGCTCATCTTCTCCAGTATCTTAACATTGGCTGCCAGTGCCTCTGAGGAATACAGCAGTGGGGCAAAAAGACAGCTATTCTTTTTGTGTTGTTTGTTGCATAGTCAAGGTGCATTGCTGTTTCCATTTGGTTGGTCTTGTTAATACTTTCTAATGACTTTTGCCCATGTTTATATTTATGCTTAGTAGTAAGTGGGGACAAGAAATGTGCACACAAATATACATACCTTTTCATTTTCATTATAGCTGTGTCCATGGGAACAACTTTCAGTGTTGAATACATGACTAAGGAGGTTCTTCCAGAACAAAATGGAGAGCTTGAGTCTACAGGCAATGACCCTTTCTGATGGGACAACAGCCTATGTTCAGCAGGATGCAGGTGGTGAGTCAGTTGAAGGCTGTGGCAGCTGTGGTCAGTGAGACTGGGGCAAAGCAGAAATCCTATGATCAAAGCATTACACACAAGGGAGAGTGAAAGGCAGTGTAAATATTTGATAAATAAATATTGGATAAATATTTCATTAAATAAAATTATGCTTTAAATGTATTAAATTTTAATAGTACAGGTAGTCTGCAACCTTCAAACATTAGGGAGCCTACCTATTATAGTCCTAAGTGGTGACAGCCGTTAAACAAGACAGCCTCTCTTAATAACCCCCAATCCTGCTCTCCATGATGCACTAGCCAAGTAAGTACACAGGCCATTAAGTGGATCACAGGGTGCCCCAGGGCTGGGGGAGGCCATGGGAGGACTAACACAATCCCAGGACAATCTGGCCCAGGCCTCCCCTACCCCCTGTGCTCCAGTTCCTACCTCCAGTCCCTACGACCCTTGGGACTGCTACCTCTCCCTGGGTCCCTGCAAGGCTTGGGCTTGCTCCCCCCCCCATCACTCACTTACCTTTTGAACAACCCTGGAGCTTTTTTCAGCATTGTGCAGACCACATTAGGGAAATAGAATGAGGTGGTTTGCCCCTGGGCCATGGGGCGGCCTCCTCAAAGAGGCTGCAATTTTGGTGTAACTTCAAGGGATTGTGGGAGCATTGAAAATGGTAGCTGCTTCCTAGAGGAAGTCACGTAGCCCAGGGACAAGTGGCCTGCCCTTTTTCCCCAACACGAGGTCCTGAGATCTTCAAAGATAAGTATGAAGAAATGTATACTCTGGTATTTCTATTATATAAAATATCTGCTGCTGTGTAAGTGTCAGGATGATGCACCATAGGTATTGTTCCATTCAATAATTGTGCTAAAAGAACACTCTATAGAATAGTTCTTTTCAGTAATTTTCACAAGAAACCAATTTTGTAGGATAGACTTAACAGGCTGTATTTTGCTTCACATTACTTAACACTTTGATAATTGTGTTATTGATAAAAGATGGATAAGAATGATGAGAAGAAAAAGCTATACACATGTTTTAATAAATTAGATTCCTTAAATCATCAGTATGGTACTGTTGCAATAAGCAAAGTACTTGGCTTTGGCATTGGCAATTTAGTTAGAAATTTGCTGTAGAAGTGAAAGAAAGAACAGTATTTTGACTTTTGACTTTAAGCTGGAAAGTATTTTCTGTGTCGGCTATCGTAAGAAATTTTCTAACATGTTTTTCAGTTTACTGAGGAAAAAAATAATTTCATTTCTGTGTTTAAACTATGATTTTAACAATTGATTGCAAATGTACTTGGCATAAGAGTACATTTTTTATATATTTTAAGTGGTATTAGGGTCTTCTTTATATGAAAGAAATGTATTTATTAATAAAGATAATTGCAGAAAACAAGAATTCTACTAATGCTACCTTTGGATTTAGTATTCTGGATCCCATATATAAAGTTGATAATATGTTTCAGAAGAAATAAATAATTATAATGTATAAGATTATGTTCATGTTCCTTAATAAGAAGTTTAATGATATGTGGCTACAAATTTTAATCTTGCTTCCTAGAAAATTGACAGTGTTTCAAAATTCATGTTTCAGAAGAGAAATTAATTGAAGGACAAATGATTGAACTTGAAGATGGATCTACAGCTTTTTTCCAACAAGTAACTCTGCAGAAAGGTGAAGTAAAATTGCTGATATACCTCTTGTGGTTTCTTTAAAGCAAAATGAGGAACTTGTGGTCTTCCTAAAGTTGTTAAACTAGTATTGCTGGAAATTGTAATTCAGCATCATCAGGAGTTCCATAAGTGCCTCGTCCCTGCTTTAATGTCCAAGCTGGCAGGGAAGGTTGCAAATAGCAGTTATGTGACAATGGGATGCTGCAACTGTTATAAAGGTGAGCCAGTTGACAAGTGCCAAGATTGCCCTCACAAGATTGTGGGAATATTGGGAGAGGCAGAACTTTGGGGACCAGCACTGTTGTTCAGTGCTATTGTAACTTTGAACAATCACTGAATGAGTGGTTGTTAAATAATCTATATAGTATAAGCATTAAAAAGTAATGTACTTGCAATTGCCAGGTTGGTGATAGGGTATTCTCGAGTGTAAAATTCACCTGAAAAAGTGATTTCTGATTACAAACTGATGTATTTTTTGAGTGCCATCTTTGCACTAAAAAGAACAAACAGTGCCTTGCACTTGCTGGTGCTTTTGTTTCTACATCTAAACAAATTTAGAGTCAAAGAAATGTTGAATAATTTTCACTTAATTCATTTAATTCATAGAATGACTCTATGTTGCACTTTTGCATGCATATTATTATTAAAATATTTTTAATATACCTAGGGCTGAATTGACTAACAGGCTATTCTTCAAAAGAAGTGAACAATGATGGGGATTCTTACTCTTGCTAAGCTTTGCTTGTGTTCTGTTGCATGAAAAAGCTGGGCAAGTTGATTTATTTGAGATCATGTGTGTGCTTATGTATATTCTGATTCATTCTACAGAATCGATTACATTTGAAGATGGTCAACCTGTTGCGCTGGAAGATGGCACCATGGCTTTTATACATCATACTCCTAAAGGTAGCTCTCAGTCTTTGACTCCTGTTTTTAATAAATAATCCATAAAAAGCCTCTAAGCAGTAGGATTATATGTGTCATTGTGTGACCCCCTGATAAAACATTTATTTGTGTTGATTACTTTTACTGTAGATCTTCCGGGTAGCCTGCATCAATAGTAAGATGTTTTATTGCGCTCTCTCTCCAAGAATTTCTTGATCATTGAAAACCACAGTTTGGTGGGTAAACCACGGTTTGAATTAACCAGGAAGTTCAGAGATGGAAGGGAGAGTGCTTGACCTCTTTATTTGTTTCTGTTCTGTGCTTTGGAAGATTGGGAATATGGCTGTGTCATTTTTTTCCCTAATCCATTCTTTAGAGCCATAAATGATAAACTACTCATCTATTGAAAAAACAAATCCACCTTTGATTGTGAATTGCAAGATTTTTGATATGTAATGTTTTCTAAAGTGTAGTTAGACTTTACTATTGATGGTCTTAACCCTTAGAGCAGTGGTTCTCAACCTTCCTAATGCCGTGACCCTTTAATACAGTTTCTCATGTTGTGGTGACCCCCAACTCTAAGGGCTCTCCAAGCGTGCACCGACGCCGCCTGCTCACCTGCTGTGCCCGGGGCTCAGCGTGCCTTGCCTGTCCTCGCCTCACTTCCAAAGGTCGCTGGCCTGCCCAGCTCCAGCTGGGTGGGGAGGGGGGGCAGGAAGGCCGCTCCGCCGGCTCCGCCCAGCCTGGTTGGAGAAGCGCCCAGGTGGGGAGAGGGAGAGAGCAAGAGAACCAAGAGGGCGACAGCGCCGGCAGAGCTTAGTTCAGCCTCCTCCGCGGAAAGGGCCGTGAAGCAGCTCAGTGTCCCTTAGAAGATGCTCAACAGAAACGAATCCGGCGCTGCAACAGCCCCCAGATCAAAGGTGTGCGGAGATGGATAGAGGAGCAGTGTCTCAGTTCCTAAGACCATCGGAAATATATGTTTTTCGATGGTCTTAGGTGACCCCTGTGAAAGGGTCGTTTGACCCCCAAAGGGGTCGCGACCCACAGGTTGAGAACCACTGCCTTAGAGTTTTATTAGCTCTAAATGATTAAAGGATAGATACATAGTGATTAGAGCTGACATGTGGTGCTATAGTGTTTGTGGTCCACTTCAGAGGGTTTTGACCCCAGCACCCTGGAGGCCATCCAGCTGGAAGATGGATCCACAGCTTTCATACACCGTTCTGTTCCTACGACCATGGGTGGCAGCATCCTGGCAGTGCAAGCAGATGAGGGGCTGGAGGAATTGGCAGGGAAGAAAAATGATGCTTTTGATTTAGATACTGATACCACTCTGGAGGATTACACCAGCAAGGTGAGAATATTCTGCTTTTCTATGAAGATCTAAACCATAACATGATTCGGAGAGTTACATTTCTTAGGTGTATATAAGAGTGACCCATTTATTTATAAACTTTTGACTCAACATCACTGATAATATCTAAGTTAGTTTCTCTCCCCCAAATCTTTACATTTGTAAGTGGCATCTTTTAGAGCCATGTTGCCTATTATTATTTTGCTTTTATGCTCTTTAAAAAATTATCTTTATTTTAATTTTTCTATTCACTGTTTTTAAATATTGTTGGCTTTATTGTGATGATTTCATTTAATTCTTCAGATCTCCTTTTGAAATCATACTGGACTTATGTGGGAGGAAAATGGAATAAAAATCTAATAAAATTAAAGGAAATCTTCATTGTGAAAATGGAAATCCATTTATTTCCTGATGTTGGAACAAGTTCAAAGCAATATCAGCAAAATATTATGACATACAGTTGTGGGTTAACATTACAAAATATGTAGTGTATATATTGTTATTCTAACACATGGTTTCTCATCCAGAGCAGTTGTATGGAATTCAATTCCAGTGTTCCTTAGCCAGAACAACTCCATAAGACAGCCTAATAAATTGTTGAGAGTGGCAAACTATGAGCCACAGACTTTGCAATAGGTAGTTTAGTTCTTTAATCATTGCATGACACTTCTCAGGCTCTCTGGCTCAACCTCAGCAAAAGCTCCCTAACCTGCCTAGATAAGAATCATTATCTTATAGAAGACATACATTTTATCTGTACATGTTATTGCTTTATTTAAACTTACACTTTTTATTTTAATCTACACCCTCACTTCCCTGTATTGTATTATATTGTATTGTATTGTATTTATTCAATTTCCAAAGCTGCCCAACTCGACCAAATGACTTTACCAACTCCATTCCAGAAGATCAGAAGACAACTTTCATTCAGAACTGTTATGTCCTTCCCCCTTTTCTTATTTTTACAGAAATGTAACAGAACTCTTTTTCTTCTTGTTGTATTCGTGAGTTTATGTTCTATACCATATGTTCCTCTTACATTTTAAGTTATAGTCTTTCATCTCCTCTGGTCATCACAGATTGGTCCGTAGATATTGATTAGGGATGTGCAGTTATTCAGATCTAAAGCAGTAAAGGTACTTTGGAGAGAACATGGGCATGATAGCTATACCCATTAATATCTCCTTACAAAAGGATCTATGGCAATCACGTAGTCCCAGGAAATCACAAATTTGAGTTAAAGAGCTGTAGTACCCGAACACATCCAGCTTAATGTCTACTTATTAACAGTAACTACTTACTCATATTAGCATGCCTTTGGAACAGTTTAAGTCTTCTTGCAACCTTTTTAGCAAAATAGAGAAGATGTGCATTAGCTTACTAACCTTGGTCATACTATACCCGTGCCACATGCAATTCCCTGCTAATGGAAAGAATATTTCAATTTTTAGTATCTTTATGCAGTATGCCAGCAACCCAAAGCTCAATTTGACCAAAAACATTTTCATAGTATATTATATATTTCATTCTATATAATTCACCCCTACTATTCTAATCAGAATGGCAAACACAACACAATCTATTGTGTTTGAAAAAAATCACAACATAAATAAGAGTCTTCATCAAGACTGAGTTGAAGAACATCCCAACTTTATATTCTACCCTTCAGAAAATATATGATTTCATCAAAAATCAGACAACCAACAACATTTGGGTCAGCCTTATGCATTACTTACAACATGTTTTTTTTATCTTAATTTTGATTATCAGCCTGCTAAAGAAAATTATGTACAGTACACTGAGTAGCTGATAGTTGAGCAAGAATTCTGGGAGCTATATTCCCAAAAGATTCAAAGAGTATTAATGAATATTGTAGTGAATATTATTGAATATTGTACATATTGAATATTGTACATATTGTACTAAACTATAAATGCAGTTTGTTTTTAGGGATTCTACAAAATTACTCATTATGACTTGACATGATATGCAGATCAAGCCACTACACTTTGTACAACAAACTATAATTTAAAATCTTTAACAATTTACAATTGTTTACAATTTTGTGTGAATGCAGCTTCCCACTTATAAAATAACATATAGAAAGACCTCAAGGCAAAGATGGAAGATAACTTCGTACACACATATATTCTAATAAGAATAAAAAAATAAGTATGAAATGCATTTATTGAACATGTTTCTGTCTTGCCTTTCTAGAAAAATGGCTTGAAATAAAAAATTAAAAACCAGGCCTACCTACTTTAGACATTGCAAGCATCATTCAGGTTTTGACTTTTTTCTTTCCCAGCAGGATTTCCAGAAGGAAGAAGTGCAGAGCACTGGAAATGGATCAAGAACTCCTGACAAAGCTTATTGTTGTAGAGTCAGTGGATGTAGCCGCCTCTTTACCTCATCCCACCATTTGAAGGTGATCTTTCTTGTCTCCCCACAATTCACCCTAAATACATTATGGCACTACTAGAGAAACTTATCTAACAGGAAATCATGGGCGTCACCAAACTGTAAGCCTGCAGTTTATCTGATAATGCTGAGGGGAGAGACAGGAAACAAGTGGTTGAAGACAGCTATAATCTTTTGCTGAAAGCTTGCTCTTAGTTTACTTAGTAGAATACACTTGCAATAAAGCATTAGTAGGATTACAAGTTATTCATCCACTTTCAACATTAGTTTTACATGAAAATACTTAGCCTTTTGATGTATTTATTAAATTTATTGTGTACAATCCAAGGTGGTGCACTGTATGCCCTCTCCTGCTATTTTTCTCACAGTAACCTTGTGAGATGGGTTGGGTTGAAAAAGAATGACTAGCCCAAAGTCACCTAGCCAGTTTCAGTATCCAAAGGAGGACTGAAATTCATGGTCTCCTAGTTCTTATCCACTATAACCACTACATCAGATGGTCTCAAACTGTTTTTTTATGTATTTCAAGATTTCTAATTTTAAAAATAAATGTAAACCTCACTAATTGAGTTGTCTCTCCTTGGATGTAGTGGTTAAGCCATTAGGCTAGAAACCAGGAGATCTTGAGTTCTAGTCCCACCTTAAGTTAGACACAAAGCCAACTGGGTGACTTGAGCCAGTCACTTTCTGTCAGCCCTGGGAAGGAGGCAATGCCAAAACACTTCTGAAAAACCTTGCCAAGAAAACTGCAGGGACTTCAATCAGAGATGATTGAAAGGAAGACAAAAAAAAATACAACTTTTGAATTGGGAGTAAATAAAATTGATACTATGTGCAAGTGCTCTTTGGCTTTTGAAAAAGTTACATTATATGTAATACTGTATTCTACTCTCTGTCTGAAATATAGCTTAGCAGGCATGGGTATGAATTGATTTAGACTAGCAAATATTAAAATACACATATCTATGAATTTGTTTATAGTATGGACTCCTTAAATTCCCATCCATATTGAAACTTTAAAAGTAAGTATTCATTGATACAAGGAAAACAAAAAAGTAAAACACCATAAGAGCATAGAACTGAAGAACTACTTCTGATAGTGCTGCAAAAAAAATATGAGTGCCAGCCTCTTCTGTTCTCAGTGGCCTAAACCTAGTCATTTTCCTCTATTTTGCTGAAGGTGCACGAGCGTGTCCATTCAGGCGATCGTCCATACCAGTGTGATTTTACAAACTGTGGGAAAACTTTTGCTACAGGTAAGGTATTTGCTGTGAAACGTTCAGAAAAGCAACAGTGAAAACTATGTTCTTCCGATGGAATTACTCATGACTTGAGAATGAAGATGTAGCTTTAGAAATCCACAGACTGTTGAGCTATAAATAGTGATGAAAAAAAATATAAATTCAAGCTAAAACTGCAGCTCTGATTATCTTTATCTTCAGAGCTACATAGTTACAGTTTTTATGTTTAATGAAGAGAAAGACTAGGGGTGACATGATAGCAGTGTTCCAATATCTCAGGAGTTGCCACTAAGAAGAGGGAGTCAGGCTATTCTCCAAAGCACCTGAAGGCAGGAGAAGAAGCAACAGATGGAAACTAATCAAGGAGAGAAGAAACCTAGAACTAAGGACAAACTTCCTGACAGTTAGAACAATTAACCAGTGGAATAACCTGCCTCCAGAAGTTTTTAAGAAGAGACCAGCAGCCATTTGTCTGAAATGGTATAGGCATTCCTGCCTGAGCAGGCGGTTGGACTAGATGACCTCCAAGGTCCCTTCCAACTCTGTTGTTCTTTTATTATTCTATGTTGCTATGCTTTGCTCACTGCTTTGTGATTGTGCTTAGAACACAAGTTTAACCCTGACAGGATATAGTCTAAAGAGTCATATGAGAACGCATACTGGTGAGAAGCCATACAAGTGCCAAGAAGATTTATGCACCAAAGCCTTCAAGACTTCTGGAGATCTCCAGAAACATACCCGAACACATACTGGTATGTGGGGGCTATTGTTTTAATTTAGGGCTAGCAGAACCTGAAGTTTTGGAAGAATAGAAGAAATGAGGCTAGAGAAAATGTGCAAATAAAGTAACTGTGTTATTATGATGTTATTTACATTGATAACTTTAATTCTTTAATTCTTATATATTTTTCAAAGCATACACTTAGAATGTTCTCTGCCCTCTTGCATCTCAGTTGATTTCCAGATTTAAAGTAAATGTGTAAGGAAAAAATAATACTTAACAGAACTCAGGAACAGGCAGATAGACAGATGGTAGTGGCATTGCGGCTTGTCTTTAATAAGTAATTGAAGAGGGAGGATATGGGGGCAAATCTTCTGGCTACAGGCTGCATATTGATGTTCTACATCAGGCATGTCAAACTTCCGGCCTGCGGGCCGGATGCATCATACTGAAACTGCGCCCACCCCATTGCCGGCAATGGGGAAAAAGTCACGAGTTTGACATGCCTGTTCTACATCATTCATTCATTCATTTATTACAGCTTTTATGCAGTTTCACTTCCAGAGATTCTGAGTGAGTGGCTGATCCCAAACAAGGTGGTACTGAGAGTAGAGAATATAAAAAATCTGTGTGCCCACTAATCACAGTCAGTCTGTAAAATTAGGCACTGGTGGGCAAATGTTCTTCAACTCTACTTTCAGTCTAGGTCAGACATGTCAAACTCGCGACGTCACGTGACATTGCACAACGTATCGGGAGAGTTTTGCCATTGCTGGCAGTGGGGTGGGCGCAGCTTCCATATGACGCATCTGGCACACAGGCCAGCAGTTTGACACCCCTGGTCTAGGTGGTTAGAGTAACTAGTGAGGCACTGTTTGAATTATAGTTTTCTAAGAATACTTTGACAGTCTAAGTTGTTCAGCTAATCTATGTTTATGTGCATTTTAATATTTGGCTGTGCAAAATTAAACTAAAAATACAATGAGATCAAAGATACTTGCCAAACAAAAAGGTATTCATACCACTTATAGGTTAGTCCTTAACTTATAAGCATTAGTTTATCAATCAAACAAAGTTACAGAGGCACTGAAAAAGGTAAATTATCACCAGTCTTCACACTTATGAATGTCATAGCATTCCCACAGAAGTCAAAATTTGGGTGCTTGGCAACTGCATGCATTTACAATGGTTACAGCGTCCTGGATGATGTGGTTGCCATTTGTGAGGATTACATCACCTAGCCATTTGTGACCTCAGCTGGATTCTGACAAGGAAAGTCAATGGGGGCAGCTGGATTCACTTAACAGCCATAGCAAAAAAGGTTCATAAAATTGAATGTGACTCACTTGTTTAGGAGCAGAAATTCTGTTCCCAATTGTAGTTTTAAGCCAAGGAATATCTATAGTATGATATGCTGGAAAGGAAAAATGAAATAATCTACCGGTATCTTGAATTTTCTATGGCTTTTAATGGTTAACTAAGGATTCTTCTATCTGGTCTCACGATCAAGGTGAGCGGCCCTTCCGATGCCCTTTCGAAGGCTGTGGCCGCTCTTTCACCACCTCCAATATACGCAAGGTCCATATACGAACACACACAGGAGAGCGACCGTATATGTGCCCAGAACCCAACTGTGGAAGGGGTTTCACCAGTGCCACCAACTATAAAAATCACATGAGAATCCATACAGGTAAACTTATAGACAAAGTCTTTAACTGTCTTACAGTTAACAGATTTTTGTCTGCCTACTTTAAAGTGTATTACATATTGTTTTGTTATATTACGAGCCACTCAGTTATTTGCAGATGGGTAGGGCCAGCATAAATTGCTCCAAGGTCTCATTTATAGATTCAGCACATAAAGAATGATGCTGATCTTGTTCATCTTGTAAGATGGCCCCCCAAAACAATAGATTTTTAAGTTAATAAGGTAAGGCTATTAGAGATGGGTCTGACTCTTTTTTCCTGTTGAAAGTAACTATAACTATGTTGAAGTTCACAGGGTGAAAGGCTGGAAATCCAAACTTTCTCTCCTAAAGGGCTGCTGGCCCTGATTCTTACTTTGAAATAACAACTTGATAATTTCTACTGCCAGTACCTTTCTTATTGAACACTTTACTCTAACCTCGGGGTGCAAGATGAGGCTCTTTCACTTTTCTACCAATTAAAAGGTCAAAATGCAAAAGTTTAAATAATTTCAAGAGTGCCATAAGAAGATCTCAGGGAAATTCAAAGGGAAAAAGATCCTGGACAAAGCCTGAAGCATCAATAAAGGTTGAAAGCAAACCCCCAATTCTATACGTATATAGTATAGAAAATAAAGAAAATAAGACTTAGCACAGCACTGAAAAGATAAGTCTGAAAGTGAGCTTAAATTCTTAGTTATGTGCTACATATTTCAGCAGGATTCCTGAAGCAAAGGTCCTTTGGTTCCTTTCCAGGAGTTTTCTAGCTTTTTGGTGATTTCAGATATTTTTCAGAGGCTGCAAGGAATTATGGCTAGCCCCATCCTTTTCCCATTAATTTTTTCTTTTGTTTTCTATATCTAGCCGAAAAAGGGGCTAGATTAATCTGACTTGTAGAGTTTGAATTATAAATCTGCAGTCTGGCATGTAGATTACATTCACAATAATCCTAAAATGCAATCTTGTGCAAGTTTACTTGGAAAATCCCATTATGTAAAATTGGTATTATTCCAGCAGTAACTTCAACCTTTAGGCCATGAATCCATGAATAAAAAGTTGATTTTGCTGTGAATCCTAATTCTGTTCCAGGGGAGAAGCCATATGCATGCATGGTACCAGGCTGTGGAAAATGCTTCACAGAATATTCTAGTCTCTACAAACACCACGTAGTTCACACACATTGCAAACCATACACTTGCAACACCTGTGGCAAAACCTATCGGCAAACTTCTACTTTGGCAATGCATAAACGTACTGTGCATGGGGAGCTGGAGGCCATGGATGACAGTGAGCAAGGTCTCTATGAACAACAGATGGAAGGTGAGTAAACATACAAGGTAACCTTGTAATTCTTTTTTTTAACAATATTTTATTAGGTTTTATCAAAGTAGGGGAGGGATAGGGTCAGTATGGATATTGGGGTTCAGGGTAAGGTTCAGGTAGCCTTGTAATTCTTGTCACTCTCCAGTTTGCTGGTATACAGCTTTGTTTTCACTTTGTGTTCAATTTTCTCTGCCTACAAAGCCATTTGAATGCTGTCTGCCAATTCTTCTTTCTTTGTTCTCTCAGATACCACAGTGAATAACAGCCTGCCTCCATTGAAAGGTCAATGTATTGTTTCTATGAAGATGGAAGATGAAGTGCAGGAAGATTCCATGCCATCAGCAGCAGCTCTAGTTTCTCAGGATGGTGTAGAACAAGTATGAAGGACAATGGGAGGATGTTCTTGGGCTAGGGGTATTCAAGGCAGATCAGTGGAAACAATTGCAACAGGGGATTATTCTCCCAGAATTTTCTAATTCTAAGTATTTTACCACCTTATCTGCCTACAACTCTCGCATAGTTTTTTCTTAATCATAGCTTTACTAGCAAGGATTTTGTGGTATATTAAAGGAAAACTGAGAGGAAATGATTGGATTGCAATTTTACTATGGATTAGAGGCTTGTTAAAATATTTGACTTACCATGAACTAAAGCTATAGTCTGGTACAAATGCTATGACTGTGGTTATCGCTGTTGGAACTGTGATACATCTTATATAGAGATCTTGAAAATATTTCGCTTGGACATAGTATCAGAAAGTAATCTTTTAAATGTAGCTGTTATACCCATGTGATATTTTTCAGGTCAGAATAGTAACTTCTGGGACACCAGTATCTGAAGATTCATTCAAAGCCTATCTATGATCACCACTTGACAGTGCTAGCAATAACTAATAGTATTCATGATGCTGTTCAGGTAGACACATGCTATTTGGAGTTCCTATCACAATCATGGATAGTATATAAAAAAAACTAAATGTAAAATACTTAAGCATTAAGCAATATAACCATAAATTGTTTTAACACCTATACCTTTTTAATAATGTATTGAAAATAATATAATACCTTCATAATTAAGCCACAAGTTGACTTAGTATTAGCTGCCATCTAAAATATGGATATAGCATGAAGTATTCTAGAACAGTGGTGGTGTTGGTTTCCACTGGCAGGGGGGGCTGCTAGGAAAAAAATTCTCGGGAACAAAGTTTTTTTTATTATGATTTTGAACTAAGCCGTAATAAGAGAGGTTTTAGTTCTCACTGACCATCCCCACCAGTGTAAGGATGGTCGGCACAGCTTCACTTCCAGATCTGCCGCTGCTGCCTCCTGCTTCCCTGTGTGGTTGGCCAGTCAAGGAGCTCAGAGGACAGCCACCGCCCCTGTTAGAACCACTGTGTAGACAGGGCCTGCACAGGTGAGGGCTCCTTTCCTGCAGTCCCGGGTCCATCTCTGCTCACACCGATGGGGCTGCACTGCGGAAGGGAGATGGTGGTTCTGATTCCCCCCTGCTAGCTGCCCCCCCCCAAGCCAGACCTCACCTTCCCCTAGCCGGGATCTGATGACCTCCACCCTCCTTCCCCCACCCCAGCTGACCCCTCCAAGTAGCCCAGCCTGACAAAGATGGAGGGAAGGCGAGGCAGAGAACCAATTGTTAAAATAATTTTAAACCCACCACTGGTCGCTTCTAAAGGCCGCTCACTAACTCTCCTGCCAAAACTGCTTCTTTTATAGGTTCCCTCACCCCGCCCAGCTCTCGCAGCTCTTCCCGAACTGCGCATGCGTGGAGGGGGAGGGGAGAAGCCCAGCAACCGCGTGCGTGCCCATAGGGACGGCTCTGCGTGCCGCCTGTGGCACGCGTGCCATAGGTTCACTACCACGGTCCTAGAAATTTCTAATAATTCACATTTTTACATTTCCAAGCTCAATTACAGTAATAAGTTGAGGACTATCTGTATATAAACTATATTTGATATTGCTCTTAATATGAGGCAGATCAAGTCCTGACAAATGTAAAAAATAACCAAGCAGGAGGACACATTCCGTCAGCTCCCTATATTTCAAGGATAAAATCTTTGTGCACGAGGGTTCCCCTCAGATCTTCCTTTCAGCACACATAAGGATTAAATGTATAATTTGGCTTGATAAAAGCAAACAGATAGTTCATTTAACTTAAACTATTTGAATAGAAGGCATAATTATAATTAATTTTTTGATCATTAGTACAATGATTTTGCTTCAGCTATTAATTCCTACAGAGAAATATTCTGTTATCCTTCACTTGATGAGAAGTGAATCAATTTGATAACCTCTTTGAAGCAAACAATATAGCAACAGATCTAGGTGGCAAATTTTGGGGGCTAGCAGCATACTCCAAAAGCTGTTAAAACTATTGCTTGAGAGTTCAAATATTTACAGTTTTTAGTTGCAGTTCTAAAAACATAATATTTAAGCCATAATATTATTGCAAATGAGGGTTTAGTTTTAAGGAGGCATTATCTAGTTTCAAAAAGGACTGCAGCTTGGGATATTTAGAGGGTGTCTCAGGAATTTCATCTGTAAATTGGTTAGATTGTTGGAGTTTACCTGAATTCAGATTTTTAGTGAAACACAAGTGGAATATGAGCTAATGTGCAAAGCATCTGCTGAAAAGACAAATGGCATTTTTGAGGATGGATTATCAGGAGCACAGATTTCAAATCCTAGGAAATTATTATATCCCCCTGCTCTACATTTGGAATTAGACATCTAATTCTGGGCACAAGACAAGGCAATTGGAATCCAAGTTCAGTGAGGAAAGTTTAAAGCACGGGTGTCAAACTTGTCACGTCATGTGACGTGTCGCCACGTATCACGACTTTTTTTTCATTGCTGGAGTTGGGGTGGGCGCAGCCTCCTTATGATGCAACCAGCCTACAGGCTGGCAGTTTGACACCCCTGGTTTAAAGAAATTGAGAATCTTTAACATGCAGAAGACAAGACTTATGGGACAAGTGATAGCAGTCTCCAGATATTTATACTTTGTGGCATAGGATGTCAGGACAACTACCAATAGATTAAAGCTTCAAAGAAGTAGATTCAGGTTAAGATTATTAAGAATTTCCTGAAGATAAGACAGTAAACCATAAAGTAAGTTGCTAAAGGCATAAACTTGGGCTGTAAGACCTTGGAGATTCCTACAAAATCAGGATTCTATAAAATCTCCATATAGTAAAGTTCACTGGATTTACCCATATTCTAAACATGTTTGCCAACTGGGTCCGCACATAATGTTAAGCCATGATATATTCAATAAATTACAGTTGGCTAGGTTTACATTACACATAGCCATCCTGATTGAGAATGATGAAATTGAGTTTCAATACACTGCAAGACATTAGAATGGGAAATGATTTGCATGTAGGCATGCAAAATATTATTAAAACTGAATGATATACATCTTGTGTTCCTCAAATATATCTTTTTATAGTATTTTCCCACTCTCCTTTTTTATATTTCCACATAATTCAGTATGTTCTTTTCTTTGCTTCCTCCTTGCCTTACTTCTACTTCTGCATGTGTTCCAATAATAACCACTAATAAATAGCAGCTCTTGTGAGTTTAAACAGTTTATATAAAGCAAAGCCAGAAACTGTTAATTTGGCATTCAATGGTTTTGCTTTAAAATAAATTTAGCACATTTGTTCTTTTTCATCATATTCCTTTCTACCAAAACCAAGTTGCTTTCTTTCACATCCCTACTTTATCTTAGAGCCAGTTCACGCCACAGACTAACACTAGGTCAGAGTGGAAGCCTACAGCTAAATTTATCTTTTTGAAGAAAATGCCAGCTCATTTGGAAAAGGCAAATGGTTCTTACTGCATTGCAGGACTGATGAAAAAAGGAGTCAATCTCCACTTTCATCCTTCATTTAAAAAAGTTATTCTTTTAAAACAAAATAAACTGCAGCTACTATATTAGGTAATCATGGCTATGTGAAGGGGTTATTTGCTTCTGGTGTGTTTGCCTCTTATGCATTATATACATTCTTTGAGCAGATATATTTTATGAGAAGCCATTTGAGCAATACTTTGTATTTATCTCCTTACCACATACAATTCTATTAAATGAAATATGTTTGAATATATGGATCATTTTTGCTTCACCTATGCATCATCTGGTCTCTTCCACCTAGCAACTCCCAAATGTAGTTTTGACTACTAAAGAATGCAAAGAGATTGTTGAAAGCATTATTGGCCCATCTTTCACACTTTCCTGAGAGTAGTACAAGAGTGTTGTACAAATTACTTTGAAAATTGTGAGAGTGTTCAAAGAAAAAGTTACGGAATCAATCAGAAATCATTTTTCTTCCTTAACTCATTCCTACTTGTATTTTTTATCACTCCTCCAATTGCAGGTTCAAACCAATTTGAATGTTTGAAAATCATGTCTTATCATTTTCTTTTCTAGCTGGAAATGTAACAGAGTCTGGAAAGTACAGTCAGCCTGACAACTACAGCAGTTCGCCAAGAAGCTGCAACTCTGAAAACTGCTACATTGAAAAATGGATGTTGAGACTTTATCTTGAATACTTGACAGGAGTGAAGAGCTATGTAGAAATAAAAGTAATTGGATAGGCAACAGATTCTACAGGAGCCTGCAGTTCGGGAGTCAGATGACTGGTAACTAAGTCCCCATTGGACCTGAAGAGAGTTTTTAAGGATTGTTAATTGCTAATCAGTAGATGTTGATAACTGACAAAAAGAGATGATGAAGCAACATTTTTGCCTGACACTTTTTAAACAAATGGATCCTTGATAAGCTTTAAGAAATCAACTTGTCTGAGATACCGTTTGTCTTATCATTTGGATCTTTTTCATTTCTGGTACATATTAATGGAATGACCATTTCTGGATTAGAAAACATTTAAAGTTGGACTTTTATTGGATTTCAGCAACAAGAACTTTTATCATGTCAGAATTTTATAATTTAAAAATGTTTTTAGCAGAGAATGTCCAGAAAGGGATCACAGCTACTCCATATCCTAGAGCAGTGTTTCTCAACTCTGCAACTTTAAGATGTGTGAACTTCAGCTCAGAATTCTAGGAGTTGAAGTCTACACATTTTAAAGTTGCCAAGGCTGAGAAACACTGTCCTAGAGCAGTATCAGTATGAAAGCAATGAAGTGCCCTCTAGATAGGATTACCAGTGGAAGTTCCAAGATGTATAGCAATGGGAAAAGGCAACAGCATTATGGAAGCTTCCCCCCCCCCCAATCTACCAGGGTTACCTTTAAATCTTAGCAAGAGTCTAAACAGACAGATAAAAATCTACATTGAACTTGGGGGTATATTAAATTGGTTCTGTGTAATGTTTTATTTTCTTTCATTCTGAAGAGATAATAGATGGTTTTGATATATATTTCATAAAAAACAACTTGTTTTCTACTTTCAATAATAGTTTCAGCTTTACCATTCTATTCCTCTTTTAGTCCCATATATTTAGTTCATTTGGTAAATTAAGTATAGATTCTCCTACCCCCAAGAATCCTAACAAGATCAAGAGGGAATTAATATAAAAACATGTTTCCTTGTTGTTAATTAATAGCCAAGAAGCAGTAATTTTTATCAAGAATTGTGGTAGAGAAAGAGACTTTTCAATATACATCCAATCCTAATGAAAATGGTCATTTCCCAATGGTAATAAGTGTTGCTTGATTATCCATAAAAAGTAGTGAGCTTTTATGGGCCATGCAGTATCAGACTACAAATTGCCCCATACGATGGTATTCTGCCATCAAAATGCATGTTATATAATCAGAAAGAAGAAAACAGTTGCATCCAGTAAGCTTGATGGACACAGAAGATTGTTTTAAAAGTATCATCTACATTTGCAACTGATGATTTTTTGCATTATTGTCTGCTGTAACTCATGAAATAATATTGTACTCCTGTTGTTCAGTTACAAGCTTTGACATGTACAATGCTATTTGACTTTTCGATAGGACCTCATTTACTTAGGCTTGTAACCTTGAAAATATTCCATTACACAATTGTGAAATTTTACTCAGCTGTTGCTCCTTTCTTTTGTGATTATACTTGATCCCAGCACTTAATTCCAAAACAATAATGTTACAGTATGTGATTAAGCTGCAACACTGAAATAGAAATTGGCTTAAGAAAAATAAGTGTTCCTCTTTGTGCTCCAATTCTGACAAATCAGAACTTTAATTCCCTTTGAGAATGAGGTCAAAGAATAAAGAAAATCAATGAAGCTGCTGCCAATCTCAAATGTTACTTTTCTCTTTTTCATTCTTTACTTATCTTTGGCAGTAGTCATAACTATCTTCACAATTTCAGAGAAAAAAATGATAGATCCAAAATGCACACATTTTTCATCATCTCCTGTACTTCTCACAATACCTTTCTTCTTTTCCTTTAAAGGAAGAAAAGTGAATAGGTACTGCAGCTAGGATTTTCAACACCAATCTGACTTCCCAGATAAGCATCCTGTAAATCTGGAAACTGGCACTTGGCTGCTGCAGGGTTAAGAATGGGAACCTATCCTAGATGAAAGCAGAGATAAATTTGCCAGCAGCGGGCAGTTGATAAATGCTCAGCAACAGACAAATCAGCTGTTGTCTTTTTCTAATGTGAAAATACAGGACAGTAGATTAAAAACAAAGGCAGGGAACTGATTAAAATGGTTAGAACACTCAGTTGTGGATTATTTGATAGATGAAGACCTTGTAGACAAAATAATAATTCTCAAAGAGAATTAACTTTTCTGCACATATTTCTAGACCTGAAAATGCGGAGTACAGTGCTAACCGATCTTGTCTGAACAGAAAGTGTTAAGGAAATCAATGGAGCTTACATATCTTTCCAAAAGTCATGGATCACACTATACCTTGAGCTGAATTTTTGAGAAAAGAAAATTTACCCTATTCAATTGAAGTCAATGATTTTATGTATTTACAAAATCTAATTCTGATGTGATTAGAACAGACTGGACTTGTTTTTCTTGCTATTCTGATTGCAGTGTGATTAAAATATTAGAAGTGTTATTCTATAATTAATAACACTATTAAATATGAAAATATCTTTACAAACATAAGTGATATGTTTAGCAAAATGCGACTTAAGGAAAAAAATGGCCAATGTTAAACATTCAGAAGATATTTGCCATTTTTTGGAAAAATGGATTTACTTTAATAATGTAACTGAGACATTATCCAGAGGTTTTCTCCCAGCTTGACAAATTGTGTTTTGCTACAGTTACTGATTTAAATAAAAAATATTGTATGGGGGAACCCTTTTAAAAGGATTTGTAAGCTCTGCTATTTAAATAGTTGAGCATACTAAGAGCATCTTGATTTTTAATCTAAATAAATCCTAGCAGTGTGTTTAATAGGATTTATTCCCAGTTATTAAGTAGGTAATGCAAAATTTTACAGCAAGATCAATAATGTTGTTCGTCCATCGACTTCGATGAAGACCTTGACATCTTGTGGGATATGGGCCATCAACGATGTGTCCATAGATGGCTAATAAGACCGATGTTAGCACGGAATGTTCTGCCACATACTGAACAAAGAAATGTAGACTCTGTTACTTCAGCATTTGCAGCTCTGGCTTTGCGGAGTGCTCGCTTTTCTTGTGCCAAGATTGTCCTTCTGTGTTCATATGTCTGGCAACCCTGGTACACCAAGGTGCGCCATGTCGGTCGCACAATAATAAGCTTTTAGAGTAATCATACAGGTAGTCCTCAACTTATGACCACAACTGAACCCAAAAATTATGTTGCTAAGCAAGACAGGTAAGTGAATTTTGCCTTCGTTTTATGACCTCTCTTATCACAATTAAATGAATCACTGCAGTTAAGTTGGCAACATGGTTGTTAAATGAATCTGGCTACTCCATTAACTTTGCTTGTCAGAAGATCACAAAAGGTGACAACATGACCCTGGGACAGTGCAGCCATCATAAATATATACCAGTTGCCAAATGTCTAAATTTTAATCATATGACCATGCAATGTTGAAAGTCTGAAAAATGGTCATAAATCACAGTCTCCATTACTGTTGTAACTGAAGGGTCATTAAACAAATGATTGTAAGACCAGGAGTACCTGTATAGGATTGTATTTGCCATTTCCAAACAAGCTGGTACCATAGACCAATGAAAAGCAGCATCTTAGTGTGATCTTAATGATAATACTTTTAGCAAACAAGATTAAAATATTGTTTTTAAATTGTATTTTCATTGCCTACATAGTTAGGACTATATGCATTTTTCACAGAAAGACAACTGCAATCTACTGCTAAACTTCTAACATAACACTACTGAATAACAGGAAACAGATTTCTCCCCAAAGTGTTGACTACAGCTACTTCAGTCCTGTCTCCAAAAACTTATTTCTGCCCTCTTCTATCCTCCCCTCCCCTGCTGTTACTCAAACACTGACCCGGAGCATGTTTAGTCCTTCTAGAGCTGCCCCCCCCACCCCTCCCACTTTTTTCTTCTAGTTTTTTTTTACTGTCCCTCGTCCCGTTTTCAGTACCTTTTTGGGACTGCCTGTTTCTCGGTTTTATTTGGATGGTGCCGTTTTGATTATATGAGCAATGACGGGCAAAAAAGACTTCTTCGGATGCGCGTTAAATTCTGCCCAATTTAGTTCCAAGCTTCGATTAACTGAACAGGTTATATTAAAATTAGCTTAAATCCGGAGTTAGCACTCCCGCAACTCTGACATAGAAGACTGAGGGATGCTAGAATCTTGCCCGCTTGACCCATATCAGATACTTCCTTGGGATTTAGCGAGATGAGAAGGTGTTTTTTTCCCCCCCTTCCTCTTTGTATTTATTACCTCTCCAAACGACTGAAAAACAAAACGTACCCCGAGAAGGAGACCAGCGAGGTGGCCTGAACGACCAAGGGGAGGCGCTACAGCTCCAGAGCTCGCCCCGTTGGCGGCCGTGAGCTGTTTGAACGGCGCGCCGAGAGTTTCGCGACCGCTGGAGGGAGGTTCCTCCCCGCTGAGCGAGCAGATTCTGTGCCTGGTGCCCTGCCCTGGAGGCATCATGGAGCTGCGGACGGAGCTCTTAAAATCTATTTGGTACGCCTTCACGGCCTTGGACACCGAGAAAAGCGGCAAAGTCTCCAAATCTCAGCTGAAAGTGAGTAAAGAAACAAAAAAGTCAGCAACTCAAAAGAGCCTCTGAGGCGCGGGCGGGAAGGGCGGGAGTCTTGCCAAGGCGAGGAAGGCGGCGTGCTTGTCAGAAGAACTCGCGGCCAGCTTTGGTTCTACTAGCTTTGCTCCGGAAAGCGCAATTTGTGGGGTTAGAGGCAGTCGGAGGGCAAAATCAGATTTATATATATATATAAACCTGTTCAGGAAAAGAAAGGGAAATTAAGAGTTTTATTTATTTATTTGGCTTTCCTTGAAACACCGCGGAATCCT